TGGGATCTCTGGGATAAGGGATCCCTGGGATTTTGGATCCCTGGGATTTGGGATCTCTGGGATGTGGGATCTCTGGGATAAGGGATCCCTGGGATAAGGGATCTCTGGGAATTGGGATCTCTGGGAATTGGGATCTCTGGGATGTGGGATCCTTGGGATTTGGGATCCCTGGGATTTGGGTTCCCTGGGATTTGGGATCCCTGGGACTTGGAATCCCTGGGATTTTGGATCCCTGGGATTTGGGATCTCTGGGATTTGTGATCCCTGGGATTTGGGATCTCTGGGATGTGGGACCTCTGGGATGTGGGATCTCTGGGATGTGGGACCTCTGGGATGTGGGACCTCTGGGATGTGGGATCTCTGGGCTTTGGGATCCCTGGGATTTGGGATCCCTGGGATTTGGGATCCCTGGTTTTTGGGATCTCTGGGATTTGGGATCCCTGGGATGTGGGATCCCTGGGATTTGGGATCTCTGGGATTTGCAGCAAGCTGGGATGTGGGAAGGGGGTGTGATGGGTTCTCGGGCCCTTTCCCTGCACCAGGAATTCTCAGGGAAGAGCACAAAGGCCGGGAATGGGATCCTGAGGTCAGTTCCAGGCTGGAGCGGGATGTGGGGACAGGGACGTGTCAGAGCCCGCCCGGCCCAGCAGGGTCAGCCGGGGACACGCCGGGAGTTTTTATCCATGAAAAATTCCAGCTGAGGGAAGGCAGAGCTTGGGATGAACCATCCAGCAGGAATCCAGCAGAGCTCGGGATGAACCATCCAGCAGGAATCCAGCAGAGCTCCTGGAGCCTCCCCAGGGATTCAGGGAATTTGCTGCTCCCTCCTCCTGAGGGAAAAGCACTCAGGGGGGAAAAGGGGTTTGAAAACAGCCTGGAATCACACCGGGAATGCCACACAGGGAAAAAATGCTGCTCCAGGGGGATCTGGGAAACAGGGAAAGCACTTCCCACATCCCCGAGCCTGCTCCGTAAGAGTGGATCCCGGTTTTCAGCACCCAGTGACTTTGCACGTGGCTTTTTCACCCCAAATCCCAGCACAAATCCCAATTTCAGCTGAATTCCTTCCCTGGCCTGGCTCCCAGCCCCATTCCCGGTGCCATCCCTTCCCGCGGGGTTTTTCCGCTGGGACCGAGGAGTCCCGGTCATGCTCCCTGCTCCCAGAAATTGGCTGCTCTAATTCCCCTCATTTGCAGTTCCTGGGGGCGGCTCATTGCCTCCCCATCCTGCTCTGGCACCCCGTGGGGCGACTCGACCTGAGCAGCTCCGGGAGCAGCTCCTGAAAGCTTTTCCCTGCAGAGATGGTCCCGGAGATCCCCAAAAACCTGCAGGAATTTTAGGGCCACGTGGCCCTTTTCACACCCAAGGGATCCAGTGGGAAGTTCCTGCAGTGGGTGATTGAAGACACAGGTCTCAATGGCTCAGAAACCCCAAAATTCTGGAGAAATTAATCAATATCTCCCCACTAAAGAGTTATTTCTGTATTATGTGTGTGAGCTGTGAGTGTGTGTGTGAGCTCTCAGGATTGCACACTCAGGATTTGCACTCTCAGGATTTGCACACTCAGGATTTGCACACTCAGGATTTGCTCTCAGGATTGCACACTCAGGATTTGCACACTCAGGATTGCACACTCAGGATTTGCACACTCAGGATTTGCTGTCAGGATTGCACACTCAGGATTTGCACACTCAGGATTGCACACTCAGGATTGCACACTCAGGATTTGCACACTCAGGATTGCACACTCAGGATTTGCACACTCAGGATTTGCACACTCAGGATTTGCTGTCAGGATTGCACTCTCAGGATTGCACACTCAGGATTGCACACTCAGGATTGCACACTCAGGATTTGCTCTCAGGATTGCACAGTCAGGATTTGCTCTCAGGATTGCACACTCAGGATTGCACAGTCAGGATTGCACACTCAGGATTTGCACACTGAGGATTTGCACACTCAGGATTTGCTCTGCCCTTCCTGTGGGATCTCAGGCCCGGGGCATTCCAGGCCCTTCCCACAGGAGGGAAAAGGCCCTTCCTAAAGAGGAGCTCCCGAGGGACGGGAGCCAGGGGTGGGATCCAGGGATCAGATCCAGGGACGGGATCCAGGGATCAGATCCAGGGGTGGGATCCAGGGATCAGATCCAGGGGTGGGATCCAGGGATCAGATCCAGTGATGGGATCCAGGGATGGGATCCAGGGATCAGATCCAGGGATCAGATCCAGGGATGGGATCCAGGGATGGGATCCAGGGATGGGATCCAGGGGTGGGATCCAGGGGTGGGAGCCAGGGGTGGGATCCAGAGGTGGGATCTGGGGGTGGGATCCAGGGATCAGATCCAGGGGTGGGATCCAGGGATGGGATCCAGGGGTGGGATCCAGGGGTGGGATCTGGGGGTGGGATCCAGGGATCAGATCCAGGGGTGGGATCCGGGGATCAGATCCAGGGGTGGGATCCAGGGGTGGGATCCAGGGATCAGATCCAGGGGTGGGATCCGGGGATCAGATCCAGGGATGGGATCCAGGGGTGGGATCCAGGGATCAGATCCAGGGATGGGATCCAGGGATCAGATCCAGGGATGGGATCCAGGGGTGGGATCCAGGGATCAGATCCAGGGGTGGGATCCAGGGATCAGATCCAGGGGTGGGATCCAGAGGTGGGATCTGGGGGTGGGATCCAGGGAAGTCCCCTCAGGAACCTCCCATCCCTCGGGCCTCGGGAAAGGCTGATCCAAGGAAAAGGGAGGAGAGGCAGGAGCTGACCAGGATCGGGCTGCGGAAGGGGAGGATGCTCAGGAACACTCCCAGGAAATCCCAAATCCCTCCTCGGGCTTGAGGGAAAATCCGGGAAAACCTGGGAGTGCTGATTGCCTGTGCCAGGCAGGGAACGTGTCTGGACAGGGACAGGGACAGGGACAGAGGGACAGGGACAGGGACAGGGACAGGGACAGAGAGAGGGACAGGGACAGGGACACGGGGAGGGGACAGGGACAGAGGAAAGGGACACAGGGACACAGGAAAGGGACAGGGATGCAGGGATGGGACAGGGACACAGGGAGGGGACACAGGGACATGGGGACAGGGACACAAAGATGGGACAGGGACAGAGGGAAGTGACAGGGACACGGGGACAAGGACAGGGGGACAGGGACACAGGGATATGGGGAAGGGACAGGAACACGGGGATGGGACGCAAGGACACAGGAACAGGGACAGGGACACGGGGAAGGGACAGAGGGAAGGGGCAGAGGGACAGGGACACGGGGACACGGGGACAGGGCAGGGACACGAGGATGGGATAGGGACATGGGGACAGGGACAGGGACAGGGACATGGAAAGGGACACGGGGACAGGGACATGGGTAAGGGACACAGGGACATGGGGACAGGGACACAGGGACACGGGGAAGGGACAGGGACAGAGGGACAGAGGGACAGGGACACAGGGAAGGGACAGGGACATGGGTAAGGGACATGGGGACATGGGTAAGGGACATGGGGACAAGGACATGGGGACAGGGACATGTGGAAGGGACACAGGGACAGGGACACAGGGAAGGGACAGGGACACAGGGACATGGGGACAGAGACACGAGGATGGGATGGGACACGGAAAGGGACACAGGGACATGGGGACAGGGACACAGGGAAGGGACAGGGGACAGGGACATGGGGACAGGGACATGGGGACAGGGACACGGGTAATGGACATGTGGAAGGGACACGGGTAAGGGACATGGGGACAGGGACAGGGACACGGGGACAGGGACACGGGTAATGGATATGTGGAAGGGACATGGGTAAGGGACATGGGGACAGGGACACGGGGACAGGGACACAGGGAAGGGACATGGGGACACGGGGAAAGGGACATGGGGACACGGGGAAAGGGACATGGGGACACGGGGAGCCCTCCAGGCCCATTCCGGCTCTCAGGAGCTTCACGCGTTATTTGGTACCAACAATGGGACCTTGGGAACAACAATGGAATTTCGGGAACAACAATGGAATTTCGGGAACAACAATGGGGCCTTGGGAACAACAATGGCACTTTGGGGACAATACCGGGACTTTGGGAACAACAATGGAACTCCCGAGGGACGAGGTGCCCCCGCCCCGAGCCGCTGGCTGTCCCCTTGTCCCCTCCCCGGGGACACAAATCCCAAATCCCTTTTGTTGCCGCCCCTTCCATCATTCCCACCCCTCCCCGCTGGTTTTGGGGGTTCTCCCCACGGAAAACCACAAGGAACGGAAGAGGGATGGGTTTAAAGGGCCGGGAAGTTTTGGGATCATTCCCGCTCCCCTCCCTCACCTGTCCCTAAAGCACCAGGGGAAGGAAAATGGATTTTGTTAGGGCAGGAAACCCCAAATCCCAGCATGGATTGGGAATTCCAGGCTGAGGATCCCAAAGGAATCACCCCGGGTGGATGGAAAATCCCTCTGGGATTTCTCCTTCGTGTGGAGCCACAGGAGGATCTGTGGGGATAATTTGGGATTTGTTCCCAAGTTCTGCCTCCTCTGGCTGAGCCCACCCTGCAAATCCCCGGGATCCCTGGGATGGGGGACCTGTGGGATTTGGGATCCCTGGGATGTGGGACCTGTGGGATTTGGGATCCCTGGGATGTGGGACCTGTGGGATTTGGGATCTCTGGGATGTGGGATCCATGGAATTTGGGATCCCTGGGATGTGGGAGCTGTGGGATTTGGGACTTGTGGGATTTGGGATCCCTGGGATGTGGGACCTGTGGGATTTGGGATCTCTGGGATGTGGGACCTGTGGGATTTGGGATCTCTGGGATGTGGGATCCATGGAATTTGGGATCCCTGGGATGTGGGATCCATGGAATTTGGGATCCCTGGGATATGAGATTCCTGGCATTTGGGATCTCTGGGATGTGAGATTCTTGGGATCTGGAACCTCTGGGATTTGGGATCTCTGAGATCCCCAGGACATTTCCAGCTGGAGAATGAACAAATCAAACACCCACACCCCAAAGGTTCATAGAAATCCACCTTTTAATCATGGACAAACTGACTTTCAAGTAAAATCAACAGTTTTAAATAAAATATAAATTACCAGAGGACTTGGAAAGACCCTGTGCACGTTCTCCTCTGCTTTTCCAGTTCTCTTCACATTCCTGGAGTTTCTGGGAGGTCTCTCCGTGGTTATGGAACAGAAATCAGGGATTGAAAGCAGCGACTGGTGCCACCGGGAGGGTGAAAAGGAGGAAATAATTTTCCTTTTTCCAAGGAAAAAGGAGGGAGCAGAAGTGATGGAAGCAGTTTTTTATGGAAGCACAGCATTGGATGCGAGGGATTTTCCTTCTCCATCCCAGGAGTGATTCCAGAAAGGGAAAAATCACATAAAATGTCCTAAAAGGGTTTGTTTTGTTTTTGTTTTGTTTTGTTTTTTGTTTTGTTTTCCTGCTTTTGGAACTTCCCGTTCTTTGAGACTCCAAAGTGAGAGCAGGGATGGCAATGCTGGAATCCAGCAAGGAAAATCCAAGCTCATTCCAGGATTTCAGCCTCTCCCAAAGGTGGCAACTCAACTCATCCTCTCCTGCACTCCTGCACATCCCAAAGTGCAACATTCCCAGCAAAGTCTTTTTTTTCTTTTTTCTTTTTTTTTTTTTTTTTGGCATTTTTCCCTCACCACCCCATTCCCCCTGAAATCCTGGAATTCCCAACTCCGCTTCTCCAAAAGGGGGCAAAAAAAAAAAAAAAAAAAAAAAAAAAAAAAAAAAAAAAGGAGGAACCCTGAGGCAAAAATGGCTTTTTTTTTTTTTTTGTGTGTGTGTCTGTATGTGTGAATCCTCCATCCTGGAATCCTATCCCGGGATTTTCTGCGGGGGAAGCCCCTCCTGGATCCAGAGGGGAGGGGAGGACGGGTGGATGCGGCGCAGGCGGAGCAGGTAGAGCAGGATGGAGAGCAGCACCACCAAAAAGCAGGCCAGGAACAGGTAGTGGTTGTACACGAAGGAGAAGCTCCTCCAGTGAGAGTGAATCCCACGGAAATTTTCCTGCTGGATGTCCCTGGAAAAAAGCAGAGGGACAATGGGCACGTCTTAGAGGCAAAATTCCACTGCCAGCTTGGTGGGAATTAAACAGGCTGGGAATCAGAGCTTGTTAGGCGGAATAAGCTCTAAAAAGCACAAGTTGAGGCTCTAAAAAGCCACAAATTCCCGTCCCTAAAATCCTCTCCCAGAGGTTTTTCCCAGATTTTTGAGAGGATGTCCCTAGAAAAGAGCAGAGGGACAGCAGCCATGCTTTGGAGGCAGAATTCCGCTTCCAGCTGGGCTCGTGGCAGGAATCTGAGCCCATTTTGGGCTCTAAAAACCCCAATTTTAGGGATCACCACCTCTTCCCACCCCAGAATTCCCTTCCCAAAGGCTTTTCCCAGATTTTCAAGAGGATGTCTTTGGAAAAGAACAGAGGGACAACGGGCACATCTTAGAGGCAGAATTCCACTTCCAACTGGGCTCTGGGCAGGAATCCAAGCCCATTTTGGGTTCTAAAAACCCCAGTTTTAGGGATCACCACCTCTTCCCACCCCAGATTCCCCTCCCGGTACCTGAGGGGCAGGAAGCGGGTGCGGTAGAGGATGGCCCCCAGCGTCCACTGCACCTCCTTGTCGTAGACCTGCAGCGCCGTCTTCAGGCTCCCGTAGCTCTCCGGGAAGGAAAAGCCCCGGTGGAAAACCTCGAACATCCAGGCGGACTTAAAGCACTGGAACCTGGGGAGAGCACGGGGTCAGGCAGGAAAAATGGGATCAGGGAGGAAAAATGGGACCAGGGGATCAGGGACAGTGGGGTCAGCCAGGAAAAACGGGATCAGGAAGAGTGGGATCAAGCAGGAAAAGCGGGATCGGCCAGGAAATGTGAGATCAGGCAGGAAAAATGGGATCAGGCAGGAAATGTGGGGTCAGCCAGGAGAAATGGGATTAGGAAGAGTGGGATCAGGCAGGAAAAGCGGGATCGGCCAGGGAATGTGGGATCAGGCAGGAAAAGTGGGATCAGGGGATCAGGAACAGTGGGGTCAGCCAGGAAAAATGGGATCAGGGACAGTGGGGTCAGCCAGGAAAAATGGGATCAGGGACAGTGGGGTCAGCCAGGAAAAATGGGATCAGGGAGAGTGGGATCAGCCAGGAAACATGGGATCAGGGAGAGTGGGGTCAGCCAGGAAAAATGGGATCAGGGACAGTGGGGTCAGGCAGGAAAAACGAAGTCAGCCAGGAGAAATGGGATCAGCCAGGAAAAAAGGGATCAGGGACAGTGGGATCAGGCAGGAAATGAGGGATCAGCCAGGAAAAATGGGATCAGGGACAGTGGGGTCAGGCAGGAAAAACGGAGTCAGCCAGGAGAAATGGGATCAGGCAGGAAAAAAGGGATCAGGGACAGTGGGATCAGGCAGGAAATGAGGGATCAGCCAGGAAAAATGGGATCAGGGACAGTGGGATCAGTCAGGAAAAATGGGATCAGCCAGGAAAAATGGGATCAGGGACAGTGGGGTCAGTCAGGAAAAATGGGATCAGCCAGGAAAAATGGGATCAGGGACAGTGGGATCAGGCAGGAAATGCGGGATCAGCCAGGAAACATAGGATCAGGGACAGTGGGATCAGGCAGGAAATGCGGGATCAGCCAGGAAACATAGGATCAGGAAATGTGGGATCAGCCAGGAAAAATGGGATCAGGGACAGTGGGGTCAGGCAGGAAAAGCGGGATCAGCCAGGAAACATAGGATCAGGAAATGTGGGATCAGCCAGGAAAAATGGGATCAGGGACAGTGGGGTCAGGCAGGAAAAAAGGAATCAGGGACAGTGGGGTCAGTCAAGAGAAATGGGATCAGCCAGGAAAAATGGGATCAGGGACAGTGGGGTCAGTCAAGGACAGTGGGATCAGCCAAGAGAAATGGGATCAGCCAGGAAAAATGGGATCAGGGACATTGGGATCAGTCGGGAACATTGGGATCAGCCAGGGAGAACGAGTTAAGCTCAGCTCAGCATTCCAGCGACAGCGGGACAGAATTAAACATGGAATTCTCAGCTTTTCCAAGGGATTTTTTTCCCACAATTCTCAGCTTTTCCAAGTTCTTTTCCCACTTCCAGTGATCCAGCAAAGGGACAGGCCCTGGCAGGAGGAACTCTCTGGTCAAACCCTGTCCTGGCTTGTAAGATCAGCACGGATTCTATTTGCCATCTGCTGGAGGCGGGGCAGGTTTCTTATCTCTCCCAAGAACAATGTCTCCCTCTGGGAGAGATCTTCTGTTAATGGGCCATTAATGACTCACTGCATGGCTGGGAAAGTTCCATCAGCCCATTGTGAGATGCTCCGCCCAGAGGGAGGAGCCAAGCAGCCCTACCTGCATAAAATCAGCATTTTTTGGAACATCGAACAGCCTCTTTGCTGGATCCCCAGAGGAGCAGCTTCTTCCCCGCTGGATTCCCAGAGGAAGACCAGGCCCAACTACTCCATCCCCAGACCTTCAGAGCAAACTCCACCCTTCTACAGATCCCCGCTCCAGCAGCATTTCATCTGCCACTGCAGGAGGAGCAGCCACCATTTCACTGGACTGTCACCAACACCCTGACTCCTCAGGGTGTCAGTTTCTGACTCCATCACTAGTTTTGTTTGTACTAATTACATTTTTTAAAAATTTTATTTTTATTTAGTTTTTCTCCTAGACAAGAACTGTTATTCCCATTCCCATATCTTTCCCTGAGAGCCTTTTAATTTTGAAATTGTGGTAATTTGGAGGGAAGGGGTTTTACCTTTTCCATTTCACAGGAGGCTCTTGCCTTCCTTCACAGACTCCTGTCTTTTCAAACCCAAATCCCAAACCCCAAACCCCGACCCCGCTCACTTGAGCCGGTGCAGATCCGCGTGGGGGGCGTAGAGGCCGCGCTCGAAGCGTTCCCGCAGCACCGACCACCTGGTGGCACAGTAATCCTGCAGGGAACACGGGAAAACGGGAACAGGGAATGAGCCCAGCACCCCTCCTGCCCCAAAAAGGAAAATTCTGGTGGAAAAAAAATGATCTGAAACACCAAAAACCAAACAGTAACGGCAGCTTGCACTGGCAGTAAGGAAAATCCCAAATTTTGTGGGAATATTTTGAGCCACACTTGGAATTTGGGGTGGAATTAATGATCAACTCTTGGAATTTGGGGTGGAATTAATGTGAAACTTTTGGCATTTGGGGTGGAATTAACATTAAACTCTCTGGGAATATCCAGTAAGGAAAAATGGGAACAGGGAATGAGCCCAGCACTCCTCCTGCCCCAAAAAGGAAAATTCTGGTGGAAAAAAAATGATCTGAAACACCAAAAACCAAAAAGTAACGGCAGCTTGCACTGGCAGAAAGGAAAATCCCAAATTTTGTGGGAATATTTTGACCCACATTTGGAATTTGGGGTGGAATTAATGTGAATTGATCCCTTTTTTCACCGGTGCAGTTTCAGTGAATTTATGAATTTGGGATCCCTTAAGAAGAGTTTTTGGGAATGAAACCCTCATGGAGGGATGCTGCAAATGAGGGAATTGATCCCTTTTTTCATCTGCACAGCTTTAGTGAATTTATGAATTTAGGGTCTCTTAAGGAAGAGTTTTTGGGAACAAAACCCTTGTGGAGTGATGCTGCAAGGGAGGGAGTTTCTCACCTGTGCAGCTCTAGTGAATGAATGAATTTGGGATCCCTTAAAGCAATGTTTTTGGGAAGGAAACCCTCATGGAGCGACGCTGCGCAGGAGGGAGATTCTCACCTGCGCAGCATTGTTGAATTTATGAGTTTAGGATCCCTTAAGGAAGAGTTTTTGGGAACGAAACCCTTGTGGAGGGACGCTGCTCTGGAGGGAGTTTCTCACCTGCACAGCTTTAGTGAATTTATGAATTTAGGATCCCTTAAGGAAGAGTTTTTAGGGAACAAAACCCTTGTGGAGGGACGCTGCTCTGGAGGGAGTTTCTCACCTGCGCAGCTTTAGTGAATTAATGAATTTGGGATCCCTTAAGGAAGAGTTTTTGGGAAGGAAACCCTCATGAAGCACTGCCACAAAGGCGGGAGTTTCTCACCTGTGCAGCTTTGGTGAATTAATGAATTTGGGATCCCTTAAGGAAGAGTTTTTGGGAATGAAACCCTTGTGGAGGGACGCTGCGCAGGAGGGAGCTTCTCACGTGCGCAGCTTTGGTGAATTTATGAATTTAGGATCCCTTAAGGAAGAGTTTTTGGGAAGGAAACCCTCACAAAGCAACGCCACAAAGGCAGGAGTTTCTCACCTGCGCAGCCCTGGCGAAGCGCGCGGCGCTGTAGTCGCCGCCCATGCGCAGCACGTCCTCGGTGCAGTAGTAGAACTCGGAGAAGCCGTAGAACTCGCTGCTCTGGAGGTGCACGGGCGGCTGGGAGACGCCGTTGAGGGAGCCGCGGGTGCCGTTGGTGCGGTTCAGCAGCGGCCGCAGCCGCTCCCGGCACAGCTGGAAGTCGCCGGTGCCGCGCAGCTGCAGCCGCAGCCCCCGGTGCCGCAGCTCGTCCCGCGCGTCCCGCGGCAGGCACGGGTCCGGCACGGCCGCCTGCGGGCTGCACCGCGAGATCAGCCGGGCCGGGCTCGGCAAAGCCGGGCTCAGCCAGGCTTGGCTCAGCAAAGCCAGGCTTGGATCAGCCCACCCACCCAGCCTGGGACAGGGAGAGATCAGCTGGCTCGGCAAAGCCAGGCTCAGCAAGGCCCAGCTCAGCCAGGCCCAGCCTGGGACAGGGACAGATCAGCTGGCTCGGCAAAGCCCGGGCTCAGCCAGGCCCGGCTCAGCCAGGCCCAGCCTGGGGATGGGGAGAGATCAGCTGGCTCGGCAAAGCCGGGCTCGGCAAAGCCGGGCTCGGCCAGGCCTGGCTCAGCCAGGCCCAGCCTGGGGACAGGGAGAGATCAGCTGGCTCGGCAAAGCCAGGCTCAGCAAAGCCAGGCTGGGATCAGCCCACCCACCCAGCCTGGGACAGGGAGAGACCAGCTGGCCTGGCTCAGCAAGCTGGGCTTGGCAAAGTCTGGTTCAGCAAGGCCGGGCTCAGCCAGGCTCGGCTCAGCCTGGTCTGGGACAGGCAGAGATCAGCCAGACCCAGCTCAGCCAGACCCGGCTCAGTAATGCCCGGCTCAGCCAGGCCTGGCTCAGCCCAGTCTAGGAAAGGGACAGAGATCAGCAAGGTCTGGCTCAACAAGGCCTGGCTCAGCCCGGCCTGGGACAGGGAGAGATCAGCTGGCTCGGCAAAGCCGGGCTCAGCAAAGCCAGGCTCGGCTCAGCCAGGCCCAGCCTGGGGACAGGGAGAGATCAGCTGGCTCGGCAAGGCCCGGCTCGGCAAAGCCAGGCTCGGCTCAGCCCACCCACCCAGCCTGGGACAGGGAGAGATCAGCTGGCCTGGCTCAGCAAGCTGGGCTCGGCAAAGTCCGGTTCAGCAAGGCCAGGCTCAGCCAGGCTCAGCTCAGCCTGGTCTGGGACAGGCAGAGATCAGCCAGACCCAGCTCAGTAATGCCCGGCTCAGCCAGGCCCAGCTCAGCCCAGCCTACGACAGGGACAGAGATCAGCAAGGTCTGGCTCAAAAAGGCCTGGCTCAGCCCGGCCTGGGCCAGGGAGAGATCAGCTGGGCCCAGCTCAGCCAGGCCCAGCTCAGCCTGGCCTGCCTGGGATAAGGAGAGAGATCAGCCAGGCCCAGCTCAGCAAGACCCAGCTCAGCCCGGCCTGCCTGCCCAGCATTCTGGGAACAGGGACAGAGCTCAGCAAGGCTAAGCTTAAAATTTCCACCTTTTCAGCTGAACCCACTACTCCAGTTCCTGAGGAGGAATCCCCCTCCACTTCCCAGATTTCCCCTTCCCACACCAGACGTGCCGTGATCTCTCCACACAACTTCCAGGATCATTCCCACCTTTCCAGGGCACCTCCCACCACCCCAGAATGCTCCAAGCTGACCTTGGACACTCCCAGGGATGGAGCAGCCTCTGGGAATTCCATCCCAGCCCTTCACCACTCTAATATTGGGAATTCCTTCAAGAAATCCAACCCAAACTTCAGTTTGACCCCATTACTCCAATTCCTGAGGAGGGATCCCTCTCCACTTCCCAGATTTCCCCTTCTCACACTGCAATGCTGGGATCTCTCCACAATATCCAGGATCTTTCCAGGGCCACCTCTCACTGTCCCAGGCTGCTCCAAGCTGACCTTGGACACTCCCAGGGAAGGAGCAGCCACAGCTGCTGTGGGAATTCCATCCCAGCCCTTCACCACCCTCATATCGGGAAATCCTTCCAGAAATACAACCTAAACTTCAGTTTGACCCCATCACTGCAGTTCCTGAGGAGGAATCCCTCTCCACTTCCCAGATTTCCCCTTCCCACACCAGACGTGCCGTGATCTCTCCACACAACTTCCAGGATCATTCCCACCTTTCCAGGGCACCTCCCACCACCCCAAGCTGACCCTGGACGCTCCCAGGGAAGGAGCAGCCCCACATCCCAGGGTATTCCCAGGGAATTCCGGGCACCTGTTCCTGAGGAGGCTGCTGGAGAAGAGGCTCTCCTCGTATCTCCTGCGCGCCGCGTTGCCGCCGAAGCCCAGGAAGGTGGCCACGTAGACGCGGTACACGTGCTCCGTCTGGTGGGTGTCACAGCCCAAATTCACCTCTGCCAGCAAGCTCTTGGCCACTTCCTCCTGCAGCAGCAAAACCAGGAACCACTGGGGTCATCCTGATCCCAAAAACGAATTTTTTGGGATGTCTTGGAGGCCTTTAAATTCACCCCTCACCCATCTCACTTTAGTGCTTTCCTCTGCTGTCAGAGTGCAGAGTGTTCCTGGCTGGAACTCTGGCTGGAAAAGATCTTGAAGATCATCAACCCAACAGCAAAATCAGGAGCCACTGGGGTCATCCTGATCCCAAAAACGAATTTTTTGGGATGTCTTGGAGGCCTTTAAATTCACCCCTCAGCCATCTCACTTTAGTGCTTTCCTCTGCTGTCAGAGTGCAGAGTGTTCCTGCACTCTGATAAAGGATATTCCCATGGGATCGTGGAGGTTTCTGGCTGGAAAAGATCTTGAAGATCAGCAACCCAACAGCAAAATCAGGAATCACTGTGATGATCCTGATCCCAAAATGAATTTTTTGGGATGTCTTGGACGCCTTTAATTTCACCCATCTCTAGTGCTCTCCTCTCCTGTCCCATGGGATCATGGAGGGGATCTGCTTGGAAAAGATTTTGAAGATCAGCAATCCAACAGCAAAATCAGGAATCACTGTGATGATCCTGATCCCAAAATGAATTTTTTGGAATGTCTTGGGACACCTTTAATTTCACCCATCTCTTAAGTGCTCTCCTCTCCTGTCTGCAATCTGATAAAGGATATTCCCATGGGATCGTGGAAGTGTTCTACTTGGAAAAGATATTGAAGATGATCAACCCAACAGCAAAATCAAGAACCATTGGGATGATCCTGATCCAAAAATGAATTTTTTAGGATGTCTTGGAGGCCATTAATTTCACCCCTCACCCATCTCTTTAGTGCTCTCCTCTCCTGCCAAATCATTCAATTTCTGCCAAAAATTTAAGGAAAAATCCATTTTTATGGAAGGTTTTTTTATAGGAACCACCAGGATTTTTTTGGGTTTTAAGCCCCAAGGTGCAAATTTTGGAATGTAAGGGATTTAAAATTGTCCACAAAGACTAAAAATGAAGGATTAATGCGGGATTTGAGTGATGGGAATGAAATAAAACCAAAGGAATTCTTAATGGGATGGGATGGAGGATTACAAAAATTGGGGAAAAGAAGGAAAAGTGTTAAAATTATGCTAGAGGGAAGGGGGAATTCCTGGAAAATGAGCTGGTGAGGGGAGGAAGGCTCACATTTTGGGGCACCTCGTAGGCGATCTGCGTGGAGACGCCGCCCATGTCCAGGATCCCCACGGTTCTCTTGCGGAAAACGGGATCGTGGCGCTCGCTGCCCGGGACCTGCACCTCCACCACTGCCTCGTCCTCTGGGAAAAATGGGGAAAACAGGGAAAAATCCATGGGAAATGGGGTAAAATCCATGGGAAATGGGGAAACATCAATGGAAAATAGGGAAAAATCAGGGTAAAATCCCTGCGCTCGCTGCCCGGGACCTGCACCTCCACCACTGCCTCGTCCTCTGGGAAAAATGTGGAAAACAGGGGAAAATCCATGTGAAATGGGGTAAAATCCATAGGAAATGGGGGAAAATCCATGGGAAATGGGGTAAAATCCATGGGAAGTAGGGAAACATCAATGGAAAATAGGGAAAAATCCCTGCGCTCACTGCCCAGGACCTGCACCTCCATCATTGCCTCATCCTCTGGGAAAAACATGGGAAACAGGGAAAAACCCATGGGAAATAGGGAAAAACCCATGGGAAACAGGAAAAAATCCATGAGAAATGGGGTAAAGTCAATGGGAAATGGGGAAAAATCTCTGGGATACAGGGAAAAATCCCAGGGATCCAGCCAGGAGGAGCTGCTGTTTGTGGCTGGTAAAGCTTCAGGTGGGATTGGAGCCAACCCAATGGAAATGCAACTCCCATGGCTGGAATTGCACCCCAACATCTGGCTGGAATTGCATGCCAACATCTGGCTGGAATTGCATGCCAACATCTGGCTGGAAAATCACACCCTGGAGCCCCCAGCTCCCCTTCACTCCTCACCATCGTCCGTGTGCTCAAATCTCCCAAGGACAAAGTTGATCCCAATCCATGCATAGACTCCTGCAGGTGGAAAAAAAAAACAAAACCAGATTTGGAATTTCAGGAATATGAGGAATAGCTGGATTATGAACTTGAGAGCAGATTGAAACATTTTAATTTCATTTTTTTCTGTTCGAGATCAGCTCTGTTATTGCTTATTTTTCTGCTATAAAATCGTAGAAGTTAAACATTCCTGGGAAATCATCAATTCCTGAGAATCATTCCTGGAAAATCATTAATTCCATCAGGAATTCCTGATGGTTTTCTCTTCTCCCAGGTCAATACCACAACAAAATTCCAGACTGAAAGAATTAAAAAGATTTTGATGTGTAAAATTCAGGAAAGAACTGAAGGAAATGAAATTTTAAAGGGATTTTAAGGCTCTGGTGATCCCATCAAAATATCTCTGCTTTTGAAATCATCTCATCCTGCAAAGTTCCTTCCATCAGGAATGTTGTGATTTATCCTTCCCCCTCCCTCTAGAGGAATGGATTCAATTCCAGTAAATTTTCAGGGATAATAAGCAAAGATTTGGCCCATCAGGATTTGAAAAAACAATAAAACCACCCCAAATATTTTCCAGATCCAATTCCAGTGATGGAAATCCTAAATATTTTACAGATTCCATTTCATTAAAGGAAATCCCAAGTATTTTCCAGATCCAATTCCACTAATTTTTCAGGGATAATAATCAGCAAACATTAGGCCCATCAGCATTTGAAAAAACAATAAAACCACTCCAAATAATCCCTTGGAAATCCCAAATACTTTCCAGATTTAATTTCAGTAATGGAAATCCTAAATATTTTCCAGATTCTATTCCATTAATGGAATCCTAAATATTTTCCAGATTTAATTCCATTAAATTTTCAGAGATAATCAGCAAACATTTGGCCCATCAGGATTTGAAAAAACAGTAAAACCACCCCAAATCTTCCCTTGGAAATCCTAAATATTTTCCAGAATCAATTCCAGTAAATTCTCAGGAATAATCAGCAAATATTTGGCCAATCAGGATTTGAAAAAGCAACAAAAAGACCCCAAATCTTCCCTTGGAAATCCCAAATATTTCCCAGGGCTCCCCTACCTTCCTGCTTGCCCGAGATCACCTCAGCGTGCGAGTCGGAGAAGAGGAAATCGAAGTGCACGGGGATGTCCGTGAGCAGATCCTCCAGGATGGCTTTCTGCTGGCTGCGAAATTCCACAAAAAAAGGCTGGAAAAAAAGCTGGGATTCGGCTGGAATTCCCGAAAAAACAAACAGCAAGCAGGGCATCACCTCTCGGGCAGGATCCTCATGCCTGCAGTGCACAGGATGTAGAGAGGAGTCTCCTTGTGCTTGGAGCGGGGCACGTGCTCGGCAGCGAAGCTCAGCAGGGGCGAGATGTAATCACTGACCTTGTCAGGAGAGCTGGCAAACTCCGAAATCCCTGGAAAGCAGAAAAGTGGTGCTGGAACTCAAAATGTCCCTCAGACATTTTTGGAGGTTCCAGGCCCAGGTCAGAAGCATTTGAGACCCTGGCAGGCAGCTGAAAACAGCTGTGATTTTGGGTTTGAGCCATGGAACGATTTACCAACCTTGCAGGAAGAACAAGAAGTCACAAAAGTTTAGATGTTATAGTAGAAGTAGTCACAAAGTAAAGGGAAGAATTTCTGAGTGCTGTACAGGGGGGGTTTGATTTTGTACATGGGGGTCAGAGGGTTTAAGATGGAGGGATTTGGGCCTGCCCTGTGCTCCCTCTTTCTCCTTCCTTACCTCCATGTTCTTGGTGATGTTGGCACTCACAGATTGGTTTAGAGTAGAAAGGCACCATTTAATATAGGTAATAGGCATTGGGGAAAAACTGTAACATGTAACACGTAATGTACCATATAAAAGATAGAAAGGCACCATTTAATATAGGTAATGGGCATTGGGGAAAAACTAACCATGTAACACGTAATGTACCATATAAAAGACAGCAGCAGCCCTGGGCAGGGGGAGAAAAGAAGAAATTAGGGGACAGAGAGGATGTCAGGGTGTGTGTGTGCCTCTGCCTGAGCTGTGAGCAAACCACAGCAGCCCAAGGAGAAAATCTTTTAGATAACTTGCAATAAACTGCCTTGAGACCGAACAACAGAGACTGCCGAGCCTTTCTTTGGAAGCACGGGCTGGAGGAGAGACTTTTCCACCACACGGAGCCCCTGAACCAGGCCGAGGTTCTGTCAAGTGGGAGTGGGGTGTTGCAGCATTTCTGAGAGAGAGAGGGTTTGATTTATGTCTGGAATGAGATTTGAGTTACTCCAGCCTAGGCCTCAGATCTGGGCCTTGTGAGGCCTTCCAGCCTCTGACACAGTTAGAAATTAAGAGTTTGTGGTGCAGTTAGAAATTAAGAGTTTGTGACACTGTTAGAAATTAAGAGTTTGTGACACAGTTAGAAATTGTATTAAGGTGTGATGGGGAGCACTGAGCTGTCTGGGTGTGAAGTAGTGCAGGTTTATAGTGTGAGGTTTAGGCCACCTTAAGACAAAGACAAACAATGTTGGGTTGTCAATAAGAGTGCCTCTGTAAACTGTAAACTATATAGAAGTGTATATAAACTGCCATCTTCTCTCTAATAAAGGGAGAACATTGCATTAATCACATTGGTTTGATGTGTGTTTGTCCTGTCCAGTTTTCCTGTTTTATGAGGGCCCTGAGTTCAGTGGGGCAGCGCCAGCTGCAGCATTCCCTGGAAAATCCTGAGCAGAGGAATGAAGGAAAGTGGGATATCAGCTGTAAAAATGATGGAATTCTGATTTTTTGATGGTGTTTTTCTCTGCTAAGGTGCTCCCTGCATTCCAAAGGAGCTGGATAAAGGATATTTCCAGGTTTCTTTGGGATTGGTTTGCAGGGAATTTTTAAGTCTTTTATCCTTTATCCAGCCACTTCGCAGTGCAGGAAACACAGTTAGGAGAGGAAATAACGGAGAAATTACAGGTTTTTCCCAATATCTGGTTTGATTTTCATCACCACCTTTTCCTGTTGCTGTCCCATGAAAAAAACTCTCCCTCCTGCCCCATTCCAGACTTAAAAATTCCCTGTAATCCAATCCCAAAGAAACCTGGAGCTGTTCCAGCTGAGCAATTCCATGTTTTTCCCAGTACCTGGTTTGATTTTCATCACCACGGGTTTCCTGGAGCTGTCCCTCATCTGCTGGATGTCCAGCAGGTGGTGGTGGGGACAGCACCTGCCTTATCCATGGACAAATCTCTCCCTCCTGCCCCATTCCAGACTTAAACTCCCTGCAAACCAATCCCAAAGAGACCTGGAGCTGTTCCACCTGGAAATATCCTTTAGAGTGTAGGAAGAAAAGTTAGGATAGGAAAGCTTGGAGCAATTCCGTATTTTTCCCAATACCTGGCATGATTTTCATCACCACCTTTTCCTGTTGTTGTCCCATGAAAAAACCTCTCCCTCCTGCCCCATTCCAGACTTAAACTCCCTGCAAACCAACTCCAAAGAAACCTGGAGTTGTTCCATGCTGGAAATATCATTTGGAGTGCAAAAAGCAAAGTTGGGAGAAGAAATCATGGAGAAATTCCATGTCTTTCCCAGTACCTGACTTGATTTTCATCACAACAGTTTCCTGCTACTGTCCCATAGAAAAACCTCTCCCTCTTACCCCATTCCAGATTTAAAAATTCCCTGTAATCCAATCCCAAAGAAACCTGGAGCTGTTCCAGCTGAGAAACTCCACGTTTTTCCCAGTACCTGGTTTGATTTTCATCACCACGGGTTTCCTGGAGCTGTCCCTCATCTGCTGGATGTCCAGCAGGTCCTTGGGGTTGCCGTTGTGCCGGGGCCAGCAGTACACGAACACCCTGGAGCCGCTGCTGCCGCAGTCCACCACGATCCCGTAGCTCAGGTTCGGGTTCCCGACGTCCGTGGCCTCCGTGTCTGTCACCCTGGCCAGGTATCTGAGGGAAAAAAACGGGAATTGCTGCAGGGAATTCGGCTCCCTATGGTCAAAATCACCTTCAAAATTTCAGGGAGTTTTGGGATGAGCCAGGTGGGATTTTAAATCCCATCCTGTGCCGCTCTCAGGGACACCTCCCGCTGTCCCAGGTTGCTCCAAGCTGGCCTTGGACATTCCCAGAGATCCAGGGGCAGCCCCAGTTTCTCTGGGAATTCCATTCCTTCCCAACATCCCACCTATCCCTGCCCTCTGGCAGAAGGAAGCCATTCCTGCCCCTGTTTCACAGGAAATTCCAACCTCCAGGATCCAATTCCCACAGCAAATGGTAAAAGCAATTCCCAAAGATTTTTTATGATGGAGAATTTTCGATCCTAGAGCTCCTACAGAGATACAAAATATAAACACCTGAAAAGCTCCCTAAAACCAGCAGGAAATGTTTTCTTTTAGGAAAGATTGATGGGAAAAGCTATTTCCTGTACCACCAACAACCTGAGAGTGTTTCCCCTTTCCCCAAAGCTCCAATTCCCTCTTTTCCATGGAATTCTTTTCCCTTTTCCCCCCAGAGCTCCATTTCTCTCTTTGCCATGGAAATATTTTCCCTTTTCGCCCCCAGAGCTCCATTTCTCTCTTTGCCATGGAAATATTTTCCTCCTTCCCCCAGAGTTCCATTTCCCCCTTCCCCCCGAGTTCCGTGTTTTTCATGGAATTCCCTCCCCGCTCACCTGTGGAATCTCCCATCCCAGTCTCAGTACTTCCCATGGATCAGGAGCAGAGCAGTATTTCCCCTTTCCCCCAAAGCTCCATTCCCTGTTTTCCATGGAATTCCCTCTGTCTCACCTCTGGAATCTCCCTGTATCCCAGTGCCTGTCCCGCAGCAGCAGCAGCAGCAGCGAGCCGAGCAGCATTTCCCCATTCCCCATGGAATTCTTTCCTAATTTCCCCAGGCTCCATTCCCTGTTTCCCATGGAATTCTTTCCTAATTTCCCCAGGCTCCATTCCCTGTTTCCCGTGAAATTCTGTCCCTCTCACCTCTGGAATCTCCCTCTATCCCATTGCCCGTCCAGCAGCAGCAGCAGCAGTGAGCCAAGCAGCATTTCCCCATTCCCCATGGAATTCTTTCCTAAATTCCCCAGGCTCCATTCCCTGTTTCCCATGGAATTCTTTCCCCCAGGCTCCATTCCCAGTTTCCCATGGAATTCTTTCCTCCTTTCCCTAAGTTCCATTCCCTGTTTCCCATGGAATTATTTCCTCCTTTCCCCAGGCTCCATTCCCAGTTTCCCATGGAATTCTTTCCCCAGGTTCCATTCCCAGTTTCCCATGGAATTCTCTCCCCAGGCTCCATTCCCTGTTTCTCATTCCCATTCCCTGTTTTCCATTCCCAGCAGCATTTCCCCATCCCCATTCCCTGTTTCCCATTCCCATTCCCTCTCTCTCACCTGTGGAATCTCCCTCTATCCCGGTGCCTGTCCCGCAGCAGCAGCAGGGAGCCCAGCAGCATTTCCCCATTCCCTGTTTCCCATGGAATTCTTTCCCCCAGGCTCCATTCCCTGTTTCCCATGGAATTCTCTCCCCAGGCTCCATTCCCTGTTTCCTATGGAATTCTTTCCTCCTTTCCCCAGGCTCCATTCCCTGTTTCCCATGGAATTCTTTCCTCCTTTCCCCATTCCCCATTCCCTGTTTCCAATCCCCATTCCCTGTTTCCCATTCCCATTCCCTGTCTCTCACCTCTGGAATCTCGCTCTGTCCCGGTGCCTGTCCCGCAGCAGCAGCAGCATGGAGCCCAGCAGCATTCCCCATTTCCCATGGAATTCTTTCCTCCTTTCCCCAGGCTCCATTCCTTGTTTCCCATTGAATTCTTTCCCCCAGGCTCCATTCCCTGTTTTACATGGAATTCCCTCCCTCTCACCTGTGGAATCTCCCTCTATCCTGGTGCAGCAGCAGGGAGCCCAGCAGCATTTCCCCATTCCCTGTTTCCCATGGAATTCTTTCCCCAGGCTCCATTCCCTGTTTCCCATGGAATTCTTTCCTCCTTTCCCCATTCCCCATTCCCTGTTTCCAATCCCCATTCCCTGTCTCTCACCTCTGGAATCTGGCCCTGTCCCGGTGCCTGTCCCGCAGCAGCAGCAGCAGGGAGCCCAGCAGCATTTCCCCATCCCCATTCCCTGTTTCCCATCCCCATTCCCTGTTTCCCATCCCCATTCCCTGTTTCCCATCCCCATTCCCTGTTTCCCATGGAATTCCCTGTCTCTCACCTCTGGAATCTGGCCCTGTCCCGGTGCCTGTCCCGCAGCAGCAGCAGCAGGGAGCCCAGCAGCATTTCCCCATTCCCATTCCCTGTTTCCCATTCCCATTCCCTGTCTCTCACCTGTGGAATCTCCCTCTATCCCAGTGCCTGTCCCGCAGCAGCAGCAGGGAGCCCAGCAGCACTTCCCCATTCCCTGTTTCCCACGGAATTCTTTCCCCAGGCTCCATTCCCTGTTTCCTATGGAATTCTTTCCCCAGGCTCCATTCCCTGTTTCCCATGGAATTCTTTCCTCCTTTCCCCATTCCCCATTCCCTGTTTCCAATCCCCATTCCCTGTTTCCCATTCCCATTCCCTCCCTCTCACCTGTGGAATCTCTCTCTATCCCAGTGCCTGTCCTGCAGCAGCAGCAGCAGGGAGCCCAGCAGCATTTCCCCATTCCCCATTCCCTGTTTCCCATTCCCATTCCCTGTTTCCCATGGAATTCCCTGTCTCTCACCTCTGGAATCTGGCCCTGTCCCGGTGCCTGTCCCGGAGCAGCAGCAGGGAGCCCAGCAGCATTTCCCATCCCCATTCCCATTTCCCATTCCCATTCCCATTTCCCCATCCCCATTCCCATTTCCCATCCCCATTCCCTGTCTCTCACCTCTGGAATCTCGCCCTGTCCCAGTGCCTGTCCCGCAGCAGCAGCAGCAGCGAGCCGAGCAGCATTTCCCCATTCCCCATGGAATTCTTTCCTAATTTCCCCAGGCTCCATTCCCTGTTTCCCATGGAATTCTTTCCTAATTTCCCCAGGCTCCATTCCCTGTTTCCCGTGAAATTCTGTCCCTCTCACCTCTGGAATCTCCCTCTATCCCATTGCCCGTCCAGCAGCAGCAGCAGCAGCGAGCCAAGCAGCATTTCCCCATTCCCCATGGAATTATTTCCTAAATTCCCCAGGCTCCATTCCCTGTTTCCCATGGAATTCTTTCCCCCAGGCTCCATTCCCAGTTTCCCATGGAATTCTTTCCTCCTTTCCCTAAGTTCCATTCCCTGTTTCCCATGGAATTATTTCCTCCTTTCCCCAGGCTCCATTCCCAGTTTCCCATGGAATTCTTTCCCCAGGCTCCACTCCTCGTTTCCCATGGAATTCTTTCCCCAGGCTCCATTCCCTGTTTCCCATGGAATTCTCTCCCCAGGCTCCATTCCCTGTTTCCCATTCCCATTCCCTGTTTCCCATTCCCATTCCCTGTCTCTCACCTCTGGAATCTCCCTCTATCCCGGTGCCTGTCCCAGAGCAGCAGCACAGAGCCGAGCAGCATTTCCCCATTCCCTGTTTCCCATAGAATTCTTTCCCCAGGCTCCATTCCCAGTTTCCCACGGAATTCTTTCCCCAGGTTCCATTCCCAGTTTCCCATGGAATTCTTTCCCCCAGGCTCCATTCCTTGTTTCCCATGGAATTCTCTCCCCAGGCTCCATTCCCTGTTTCCCATCCCCATTCCCTGTCTCTCACCTCTGGAATCTCGCCCTGTCCCGGTGCCTGTCCCGCAGCAGCAGCAGCAGGGAGCCCAGCAGCATTTCCCCATTCCCATTTCCCCATTTCCCATGGAATTCCCTGTCTCTCACCTCTGGAATCTCCCTCTATCCCGGTGCCTGTCCCGCAGCAGCAGCAGCAGGGAGCCCAGCAGCATTTCCCCATTCCCCATTCCCATTTCCCATCCCCATTCCCTGTTTCCCATCCCCATTCCCTGTTTCCCATTCCCATTCCCTGTTTCCAATCCCCATTCCCATTCCCCATTCCCATTCCCTGTTTCCCATCCCCATTCCCTGTTTCCCATGGAATTCCCTGTCTCTCACCTGTGGAATCTGGCCCTGTCCCGGTGCCTGTCCCGCAGCAGCAGCAGCAGGGAGCCCAGCAGCAGCAGCAGTGCAGCCACCACCGCCGCCAGCAGCAGCAGCCGCCGCAGGGACGCGTTCAGGGCCCGGGGACACCCCACGGGAGAGAGGCTGAAGTGCCACGAGGCCGGGAGCAGGCAGGAGATGCTGATCCTGGAATCCCAAGAGCGGATTGAGGGATGGGTTTGGTGCTAAATGCAGGAAAAATTCCTCCCGGGGATGGAATTCCCACTCCTGCCCCATCCCCGGGAGGGGCTGGGCTGAGGGGGATGGAAGGATCCCACAGGGTTTGCTGGTTTGGGGCTGGAGCTGCTTTATATCTCCTGGGAATGGAAATCTTGGGATGATCCTGGAGAAATCTAGGGAGACCTCAGGGCACTTCCCCAGGGCCTGGAGGGGCTCCAGGAGAGCTGGAGAGGGACTGGGGACAAGGATGGAGGGACAGAACACAGGGAATGGCTCCCACTGCCAGAGGGCAGGGATGGATGGGATTTTGGGAAGGAATTCCTGGCTGGGATGGAATTCCCAGAGGAGCTGTGGCTGCCCCTGGATCCCTGGCAGTGTCCCAGCCCAGGCTGGAGCAGCCTGGGAGAGTGGGAGGTGTCCCTGCCATGGCAGGGGTGGGATGACCCTTAAGGCCCCTTCCAGCCCAACCCATTCCAGGATTCTGCTCTGGACTGAGAGGACTCAGGACACCATTCCCCTGCTGGAATTCCTGGTTAGGCTCCCTGTCCTTCCCGCCAACGCCTTTCCAGTTTATCCCAGAGCTCCTTTAGGATCCTTACCTGCCCATTTTGGGATCGGGGCAGCAGCAGGAGCTGTGGAGCCTCAGCCGGTGACCTCGGAGGGCCCAGGGACATCCGGCCTGCCCTGGGCCATCCCTGCTCTGCTCCTGAGGGGAAACCAAGGGAGCTGATTCCTTGTGGGGCACGGGGAGATCCCTGAGGGACACCCCGGGATGGGACCCTTCCCTTCCCTTCCCTTCCCTTCCCTTCCCTTCCCTTCCCTTCCCTTCCCTTCCCTCAGCACCGCTGGGGCATTCCCGGGTAAGGAGAGCAGGAATCCAGAGGAAAACGGGAATCCAGAGGGGATGGAAGCACTGAATCACCTCGGTGTTCCCCATCCCATTCCCGGTGTTCCCACTCCCGCTGTTCCCGATCCCGCTGTTCCCATTCCCATTCCCGTTCCCGATGACATTCCCGCTGTTCCCGTTCCCGCTGTTCCCGTTCCCGCTGTTCCCGATCCCATTCCCTCTGTTCCCATTCCCGTTCCCGATCCCATTCCCGCTGTTCCCGATCCCATTCCCGCTGTTCCCGATCCCGCTGTTCCCATTCCCGTTCCCGATCCCATTCCCGCTGTTCCCGATCCCATTCCCGCTGTTCCCATTCCCATTCCCGGCGTTTCTCTCCCCCAGTTTCACCTCCCGGGCCGCCCCATGGCAACGGCCCCGCGGCACTTCCGGGTGCGCCGCCGGACGTGACGCAGAGCGTGCTGACGTCACGGCGGGCCCAGAAGGGATTCCCCGGGGGCGTGGCTTGGGGGCGTGGCCATGACAGAGGGGGCGTGGTCAGGAGAGCCAAAAAAATCGCTATAAAAACACCAGGAATAGGAATTTATGGCTATAAATAAGCCAAATTTGAGAAATATATAAAATTTATAGCTATTGCTGTGTCAATATTTTGAAATATATAAAATTAATAGCTAAAATCGTGACTATATTTTGAAATACGTAAAATTTATAGCTAAAGAATGTGTTAATATTTAGTATATTTATGTGTGTTAAATAAACTAAATATGTGTTAATATTTAGTTATATATTTAAGTATAAATATATAAAATTTATACTTATAAATGTGTCAATATTTCGAAATAGTTAAAATTTCTAGCTATAAATATGTCAATATTTCGAAATAAATGTATACATGTGTCAATATTTTCGACTATATTAAATTCATAGCTATGAATGTGTCAATATTTCGAAATATTTAAAATGTATAGCTACAAACGTGACAATACTTTGGAATAAATTCAATTTACAGCTATCGCTCTGCCAATATTTTGAATGGTATTATTGTAAATATCCAGTGGTTGTAGCCGCTCGAATAAATATCTCAATATTCACGATATAAAGAATAAATACATTAATTTTATTTTATAAAAAACAAGGGAGGGGAGGAAATTCCATGGGAAAAGGGGAATTCTCCTGTGTTTTGCCACTGAGCGGCAGCACCGCCTGTGTCTGCTCCAGGATCCCTCCGGAGAAATGGGAAAGTTTCTCCCGGCTGAAATGAGGTGGGAAAATGGGAATAAAATCGGGGATTTGCAGGGAAAGAGGAGCTGGAATCCATCCCGGGAGGGGATTTGGGGTGGGAAATTATCCCCAGGGAGGGAAGGGAAAAAGGAAAAAGGGAAGGGGGAAAGAATAAGGAAAGAGGAAGGGAAAAGGGAATGGAATAAGGGAAAAGGAAAGGGAAAAGGAAAAAGGGAAGGAAAAAGGGAAAGGGAAAGGAAAAATAAAAGGAAAAAGGAAAAGGGGAAGGGGAAAGGAAAATGGGAAGGGGAAAGGAAAAAGGGAAGGGAAAGGGGGAAAGAAAAAGGGAAGGAAAAAGGAAAAAAGGAAGGAAAAATTAAAGGGGAAAGGAAAAAGGGAGGGAAAAAGGGAAGGGGAAAGGAAAGTTGAAAAGAGAAGGGAAAGGGGAACAGAATAAGGAAAGGGGAAAGAAAAGGAATAAGGAAAAGGAATAAGGAAAATAAAAGAGGGGGAAAGGAAAAAGAAGGATAAAGGGAAGGGTAGAGGAATATGGAAAGGAAAAAGAAAAGGAATAAGGAAAAGAGAAAGGAATAAGGGAAAGAAAAGGGGAAAGGAATAAGGAAAGGAGAAAGGAATAAGGAAAGGAGAAAGGAATAAGGAAAGGGGAAGGAGAAAGAAATAAGGAAAGGAAAAAGAAAAGGAATAAGGAAAGAAGAAAGGAATAAGGAAAAGAAAAGGGAAGGGGAAAGGAATAAGGAAAGGAAAAGCAAAGGAATAAGGAAATTTTGCTGAGTGCAGGACAAACCCAGGAGCTCCAGCCCCCCTCGCAGCCTCCTGTGCTCAGAACCTCCCAAAATCACCTCCAGCAGCGCCCTCCCATTGCTCCCCCAGGGCTCCAAACCAGAAAAGCGAGTTGGGGAGAGAAAAAACCCAACAAAACAACAACTTCGGTGCAGGAAATAATCCCAAAGCAGCTTGAATTACACAGGCGGGCCCTGCCTCTCCCGGGGAGGGGAATTGGGGCAGGTTATGGGAAAGGGAATCCCTGCCTGGCTCTGGGGCAGCTCCAGCGCTGCCTGTTCCCAGTTTGGGATGGTTTGGGGCTGGAATAACCCCTGGAGAACCAGCAGGGCTCGGTTCTTTCTGTGGTTCAAGCTGGGAATGATCCTGCTCTGCCTACGTGGCCAAATTGTTTCATTTCCCACTTTTTTGGGGGTTAAAAAGTGCATTAATCCCTCCCCTGAGCTTGTAGCAGGCAAAAATTCCTGATTTTTGTGATTTTACAGCAGCAATCCCAACAGCAGCACCTCAAGTGCATTAATCCTTACCCTGAGCTTGTAGAAGACCAGGAATTCCTGTTTTCCATGATTTTCCAGCACCAATCCCAACAGCAGCACCTCAAGTGCGTTAATCCTTACCCTGAGCTTGTAGCAGACAAAAATTCCTGTTTTCTGTGATTTTTCAGCACCGATCCCAACACCAGCAGCCGCATTCCTCTGCCAACACAGTCAAATAGTTTTATTCTGGTGGGCTCCACCACTTTTTTGGGGGCTAAAAAGTGCATTAATCCTTACCCTGAGCTTGTAGCAGGCAGAAATTCCTGTTTTCCGTGATTTTCCAGCATCGATCCCAACAGCAGCACCTCATGGAGGCTTCAAACCAAAGTGGGTCAGGTCACCCCGAAGACAAAACAGAAATGTTTGTTTGCATTCCTGGAGTTTGCAAATATAAAGATAAAAAAAATAACTGGGACACGTCAGGTTTCCAAGCAGATGAATCTCCCTGTGGCTCTGCATTGCCAGGAGAATCCAGGCTGGAATTCAGGGATCTCCTGAGGCTGGCACAGCCTTGGAGCTCGGGATGGGGTTGGGAAAGAGGTGCAGACTCTTTCTGTAAAATTTGTATTTTGGGGCTGGGAAAGAGGTGCAGACTCGGAGTTAAATTTGTATTTTGGGACATTTTGGGTGTTTCTAAGTGAGGATGGGGCTGAGATGTGCTGGGAGGGGACTGGTCCATGTCCTGCGGGATGGGGAATTGATTCCCACATGGAATCTGTCTTTCCGATGAGGATCTGGCACCCAAACTTACCAAAAAAAGCTGTGAGGACATAAAATTCCAGCTGGCTGTGCTGCAAATAAGATTAAAATCAAATCAACCATTTACATTTGCTCTGATCCCTCTTCTGAAGCCTTTATAAAATGCCACAAACTGGGGCTTTTTCCTTTCCACATTAAAAATCACTGAATGGTTTGGGCTGGGAGGTTTCCACTACCCCAGGGTGCTCCAAACTGGCCTTGGACACTTCCAGGGATGGAGGAGCCACGGCTCCTCTGGGAATTCCATGCCAAGGAAGAAAACCACTAATATCTGATGCTGAATGCACCAATTTTAACTTTTTTAAAATATGTTTTTAACAAAATAACTTTGAATTTGCTGCTCAGTGGCTTCGGCAGCTGCCAGGGCAGCCCCGAGCTGGTGGTGGGAAGGATAAACCCCCTGAGCCAGGTGCTGCTCAGCTGTTAGAGAAGCTGGAGATTTGCAGAGTGCAAAAAAAATGTAAATATAAACCCCTGGGTGCAGGAGATAAAGGCCAATTTGGGTGCCCACCTCGCAGCTGGGCACTGCTGCCTTATCAGGCTGTGTGCAGCCACTCGGGCTGGCAGTGGGGAGGGTTTGGATAAGCGGGGAGGGCTTGGATAAGGAGCTCCAGGTGCTCCTTATCAGCTGGGAGGGGCTGGGGGTGCTGCCCAGCCCACCAGGAGCCCTCCCCTGCCGGCTGGTTCCTCCTTCCTCCTGAAATTCCTGCTCTGGGCTCTGTTCCTGCTGTCCCACAGCTGCTCCAGCCTTGGGTCTGTGGCTGAGCCCTGGGTTGATTTTGGCTGCTGGCACAGAGGGAATGAGGGTGAATTTTGGGGATTCTGCTGCGACTTGGATCAAAAAGTTGTGGATTCATGGGATGGTTTGGGTGGGAAGGTCCTTAAATCCCATCCACTTCCACCCCCAGCACCTCCCACTGTCCCAGGCTGCTCCAGCCCGGCCTTGGGCGCTGCCAGGGATCCAGGGACAGACACAGCTCCTCTGGGAATTCCATCCCAGCCCCTCCCCACCCTCCCAGGCAGGAATTCCCTCCCAAAATCCCACCCATCCCTGCTCTCTGGCAGTGGAAGCCATTCCCTGGGTTCTGTCCCTCCGGGCTCTCCTGCCCAGCAAATTCCCAGGGCTGTTCCTGCAGCATCTGCAGAGGGATGGGAAAACAAAATCCCGGAATGGTTTGGGTGGGAAGGACCTGAAATCCCACCCAGTGCCACCCCTGGGACACCTCCCGCTATCCCAGGTCACTCCAAGGCCATCCAACGTGGCCCTGGACGCTCCCAGGCTGAGGCTGTTGCAGCCCAAACGTGGTTTTAGCTCTGCCCTTCCCTGTTTCCCTGCTCCCAAGGAATTTGGGGCTCGTGGAGCAGCCAGGGACCCCCAGCCCTGGGGAGCTCCAGGATGGGGTGCCGGGAGCAGAGGGTGGGAAGGGAGGAGCGAGGGAATCCTTGCCCAAACTCCTTTTGCCCAGGGATGGCAGAAATCCACCCCAGAGCCACGGGCTGCTCCTTTTCCCGGCCACAACCTGTGCCTGTGATGTGAATCTTCTATCAAACTTTAAACATTTTCTAGAAATTCATTTCCCACACCTGTCTGCCCCATTTCCCTGGCAGAAATCATGGCTAATCCCATCCCAGAACACAGGAAAAGCCCTCAGGCTGAGCCCCTGCTGTGGCAGCCCAGCTTTGGAGCAGAAGGATTCTTCATGGCACCGCTCCAGGGTTAAAATATAACCTGGAAGCAGAATTCCAGCCTGCTCCAGGTCATTATCAGGGAGCAACACCTGAGAGAGCAGGAGAAAGGGCTCATTAATTCCCCTCTAATTCCCCTCCCTGCCCTGTTAGAGGCATGGGAAGGAGATTAAAGTTCTTGCTCAAGGGGAGGAAAACCTCGATAAACGCTGTGGAGCAATCCTGAGAAATGTGTCCTTGCCAGTTTTATTTCCTTGGATCACAGAAAGGGAAGTTCCTGTGCCCGGTGCCGTCTGGGGTTCATGGTTCCTGCTGGAATTACGGGCGTGGATGTGGCTCTCCAGCTTTAAATGTCATTTCATGTGGAAAACACAGTGACAAAGCCTGCCAGCAGCACGGGTTTGGTCTCTCTCCAAGGAAATAAAGGCGTGATAATCCCCTGGCTTCTCCCAGAGGGCAAGAAAGGGAGATTTAAGCAATTCCTGGGTTAAATTCCGTGTTGTGGAAGGGTTTTATGCTCTCAGCTTCGCACAGGTTGAGTTTCCTGGTCTCAGGGATGGGGGATGGCTGGGACACCTGGGGACAGCAGCTGGCTGTCACCTCCAGCTCTCCCACATCCTGCACAAGTGTTTTGCCAAGCTCAGGAAATGCTGCCAGGTCCCCAAAATCAATCAGGAGTGAGTCCCATGCGTGACAATGTCATTTAGTGTTATTTTCTCCAGCAGCTGCGTGTTCCCACCAGGAACAGAGAATTCCCAGCACAAATAAGGAAGAGAGGAAGGAGAACAGCTCGTGCTGCCCCCAGCGCCTCTCCAGGTACCCAGGATGTGACCACACCTGGATTTTCTCACCTCATTTCCAAATCCAACGCTTTATTTCCCTGCTTTTTCCAGGCTCTGAGGATGGCTTTCCTCCTTCCCAAGGCCCGCACAGCAATAAATTGTCCTGCAGTATCATGGGAATGGTTAACCTTGATTTGAGTTCATGCAACACCTCCTTCCCTGCAAGGTCGAATTCCAAATTGTCCTTTGGAAAGGAAAGAAATAAAAAGTCAGGGCTGCTCCCTGGGCCACAAAGATTTCGCCTCCTCCTCCTGGAGAGCACCAAATTCACCCGGCCTGGGTTGGTTTCGTGGTGGAATCGTGGAAAACATGAAGGAAGAGAAGAGTTTTGGGGAGCAGGGACACGAGGGGAGCTCGTTCCTCCCCCACACAAGGAGTGGGGTCTGCAGGGAGGGAAGGGGGTCCTGCTTTGGGGACAGTTTGGGGTTGGTTTGGGGACAATTTGGGGCTGGTTTGGGGTAAGTTTGGGGTCGGTTTGGGGACAATTTATGGCTGCTTCGGGGACAATTCAGGGCTGCTTCGGGGACAATCTGGGGCTGCTTCAGGGACAATTTGGGGTTGGTTTGGGGACAATTTGGGGCTGCTTCAGGGACAATTTGGAGCTGCTTCAGGGACAATTTGGGGCTGCTTTGAGGACAATTTCAGATTTCTTTGGGCACAATTTGGAGCTGCTTCGGGGACAATCTGGGGCTGCTACAGGGACAATTTGGGCACAATTTGGGGCTGCTTCGGGGACAGTTTGGGGCTGCTTTGGGCACAGTTTGGGGCTCCTCTGGGCACAATTTGGGGTTGCTCTGGGCACAATTTAGGACTGGTCTGAGCATAATTTGGGGCTGCTTCAAGGACAATGTGGGCCTGGTTTGGGCACAATTTTGGGCTGATTTTGGCACAATTTAGGGCTGCTTTGGGGACAACTTGGGGCATCTCTGGGAACAACTTGGGGCTGCTTCAGGGACAAATTACGGCTGCTTTGGGGACATTTTCAGGCTGTTCTGGGCACAATTTGGGGCTGCTTTGGGGACAGTTTGGGGCTGGTTTGGGCACAATTTGGGGCTGCTTCAGGACAATTTAGGGCTGCCTTGGGGACAACTTGGGGCTGCTTCAGGGACAGTTTGGGGCTGTTTGGGGACCCTGCAGGGAAAACAGCCCCTTTGCCCATGGCACCTCCATCTCCAGGTCTGCCCTGCCTCACCGGGGGTACCTGCAGGGGGGACACCCCTGCACAAGGGCTGAGTGCGAGCTTTGAGGGGCGGCCCCGTTCTCCCAGGGATGTCCCACCAAGTAGCAGCGACTAAAAATGCCTCCGACAACAGGAATAGCTAATTAATGTCCCCTTTCTGCCTGCGCAGCTCTCCCCCTCGGGGTGGGCACAGCTCTCTCCCCTCAGGATGAGCACAGCTCTCTCCCCTCACGGTGGGCACAGCTCTCCTCCCTCAGGATGAGCACAGCTCTCCTCCCTCAGGGTGGGCACAGCTCTCTCCCCTCAGGGTGGGCACAGCTCTCCCCCCTCAGGATGAGCACGGCTGTCCCCCCTCAGGATGAGCACAGCTCTCTCCCCTCAGGGTGGGCACAGCTCTCCCCCCTCAGGGTGGGCACAGCTCTCTCCCCTCAGGGTGGGCACAGCTCTCTCCCCTCAGGATGAGCACGGCTGTCCCCCCTCAGGATGAGCACAGCTCTCTCCCCTCACGGTGAGCACAGCTCTCCCCCCTCAGGCACACACACACACACACACACACACACACACACACACACACACACACACACACACACACACACACACACACACACACACACACACACACACACACACACACACACACACACACACACACACACACACACACACACACACACACACACACGCCGCCGCTGCCGGTGACAGTTACGGGCGGTACGGCCGCGTCCCCTCACCGGCGGTGCCGCACCACAGCTCCCCTCACGGCTACGCCCCACCCACCCACCACCACCACACCCAATCACAACCCCCCGCCTCCCGCTTCTCATCTTCTATTGGTTAATATCCTTGCCAATCATTTTCCCGCCAGGGGATGTCACGGATGCGCGCCGCGCTGATTGGTGGGATCGGGATGGGCGTGGCGAGCGCGGCTTTAAAGGAGGTTGGGCGGCGCGCGGTCCCAGTGCCCCCCCAGCCCGGTCCGGTCCCGGTGTCCCGTCCCCAGCCCGGTACCGGCGTCCCCAGCCCGGCCCGGCCCGGCTCGGCTCGGCCCGCGTCCCCGCTGCCGGCCCATGGAGCTGAGCTGCGCCATGGCGGGCAGCTCTGCCGCCCCGCCGGGCCCCGGGCCCCCCGCCGCCACCGGGCTGATGGAGAGCGATGACTACGAGAGCCTGCCCAGCGGCGTCGCGCTCGGCACGCACATGGTGGCCGGGGCGGTGGCGGGGATCATGGAGCACACCATCATGTACCCCGTGGACTCGGTCAAGGTGCGCGGGGACGGCGGAGAGCGGCCGGGGAGGTGGGCACGGGGCGGTGCGGGGTGTGCCGGGGATGCTGCGGGGAGCGGGAACGGCTGGGGGGCCGGGGGTGCAAGGAGGGGTGCTGGAAGTGCTGGGGGTGCAAGGAGCGGAGAGGACTGAGGGGGTGTGCAAAGGGTTTTGGGGTGCAAGAAGAGGGGAGTTGTGAAAGGTGTGCAAGGAGGGGAGAGAACAGAGGGTTTTGGGGTGCAAGAAGAGGGGAACAGTAAAGGGTGTGCAAGGAGCGGAGAGGACTGAGGGAGTGTGCAAAGGGTTTCGGGGTGCAAGAAGAGGGGAGCAGTAAAGGGTGTGCAAAGAGGGGAGAGAACAGAGGGTTTTGGGGTGCAAGAAGAGGGGAGCAGTAAAGGGTGTGCAAGGAGGGGAGAGAACAGAGGGTTTTGGGGTGCAAGAAGAGGGGAGGTGTAAAAGGTGCAAGGAGGGGAGAGAACAGAGGGTTTTGGGGTGCAAGAAGAGGGGAGGTGTGAAAGGTGTGCAAGGAGGGGAGAGAACAGAAGATTTTGGGGTGCAAGAAGAGGGGAGGTGTGAAAAGTGTGCAAGGAGGGGAGAGAACAGAGGGTTTTGGGGTGCAAGAAGAGGGGAGGTGTAAAAGGTGTGCAAGAGGCACTGGGGGTGCAAGGATGAGAGAGAACAGAGGGTTTCGGGGTGCAAGAAGAGGGGAGATGTGAAAGGTGTGCAAGGGGCGCTGGGGGTGCAAGGAGGGGAGAGAACAGAGGGTTTTGGGGTGCAAGAAGCAGGCCAGGTGTAAAGGGTGTGCAAGGAGCTGTTGGGGTGCCAAGGGAAGTGTGTAAAAAGTCGTTGGAGTGAAAGAAGCGCTGCAGGTTCAAGGGGTTGTTGGGGTGTCAGAGTGTAGGAGTTTTTGGGGTGCAAGGGAGGAAAATCTGAGAGAAATTGGGGTTTAAGGAAGGGAGAGTGTGGAGGGGATGTTGGGGTGCGAGAAGGGTGGGGATGTGTAAGGAATCTTGGGGTGCAGACGGGTAAGGTGTCGGTGGAATGTTGGGGGTGCACGTGTGGGAAAGTATCCGTGGAATGGTGGGGAGATGTGTCCATGGAATGTTGGGGAGAAGTGTCCATGGAATGTTGGGGTGCACGTGGAGGGGGAAGTGTCCATGGAATGTTGGGGAGATGTGTCCATGGAATGTTGGGGGGAAGTGTCCATGGAATGTTTGGGAGATGTGTCCATGGAATGTTGGGGAGATGTGTCCATGGAATGTTGGGGTGCACGTGTGGGGGAAAGCGTCCATGGAATGTTGGGGTGCACGTGTGAGAAACTGTCCTTGGAGTGGTGAGGAGATGTGTCCTTGGAATGTTGGGGGGAAGTGTCCATGGAATGTTGGGGTGCACGTGTGGGGGGAAGTGTCCATGGAATGTTGGGGAGATGTGTCCATGGAATGTTGGGGGGAAGTGTCCATGGAATGTTGGGGTGCACGTGTGGGGGAAAGCGTCCATGGAATGTTGGGGTGCACGTTCCAGGCTGGCCTGGAACCGGACCGGGACGAGGAGCTTTTCCCTCCCGGAGCCTTGGAAATCCCAGTTCAGCTGCTGGGACGGGTGAGTGGCTTTGTTGGGTGTTTGAAGAGGAGCTGCCTGGTGGATTTTGGAGCTGATGATGATGCCCCAGCACGCTCAGGGAAGGCTTCCCAGCGTCTCCAGAGTGTGGGAATCATCCCGAAGGATATTTCCTCCCTCTGCCCTGCCAGTTTGCTGCTGTAGGGCCTTCAAAAGGAGAGGGAAAGCTGGGAAAAGCCCAACTCCCTCGATGCTGGCGCGGATGAATCACGAGATGTTGCAATCCCTTCTCCTTCTCCTCCGCGGTTCCCTGAAAGAGCAGAAAGAGCAGAGAAGAGGAAATGCTTTGGCTTTTGCAGATTCTGCCAGTGTTACAAGCACTCCAAGGAAGTATTCCTGCTTTTTTTGCCCTGTTTTCCCTCTGGGCCTGTCCCTGCTGCACCTGGCTCACAGATTTGGGGTGTGGGGTCGGTGCCCACCCTGAGCGTGGCACCAACAAATGAGTTGGTGTTTTGTGCCCAGCTGGGCGGGTGTTGTCCCTCTGGAATTCTGCACTTCTTTTCCTCGGCGGGGCGAGCAGAGGCAGAAATGAAAGCAGTGCCCGGCTTCCTGGAGTGAGTGGGAGGCGCTTTGGAGGAAAAACTCCCCGAGTTGTGCCTTCCCTGGCTGCTGCCGGGCCGGGGAGCCCCGCTCAGCCCGGAGCGGATCAGAGGTGGCAACTGACCCAAAAAAAGGGAGTTTGGATCCTTAAAGAGGTTTGTTTGTTTGTAGTGGGTGTCTGCAATAACAACTCAGCTGTCTCAATTTACCTGTGGGAAAGGAGCAAAGCTTTTCCTCAGTGGGACTTCCTGGGGCAGAGTTCCAGGCTGGAGGAGGTTGGGTTTTTCTGCAGGTGCTCCTGCTCTGAGGTTCCTCCTGTCTGGCTTCCAGCAAGTCATTTCCTCCCAAAGAGAAACTGAAAATGTTGTAATTTGGGGGAATTGTTTGCTGCAGACACTTGCACAACCCCTGAGCTTGATGGGGTCACAGAATCCCACAATGGTTTGGGTGGGAAGGGACCTTAAAATCCCCCGGGGCCACCCCAGGGCAGGGACACCTCCCACTGTCCCAGGCTGCTCCAGCCTGGCCTTGGACACTTCAGGGATCCAGGGACAGCCACAGCTGCTCTGGGAATTCCATCCCTCCTTCCTCCCTCACAGGGAAGAATTCCTTCCCAATATCCAACTTCAATCTACGCTCTTTTCCTCCCTGTTACTTTCCAATGCTGAATAATAAATAATAATTTATTTTTTTTTACCACTAGGTAAATGAGCTGCAGCCTCTCCTGCACTTTCCCTCTGCCTCTCCCCCTCAGCTCTGGTTTTTGGACACCCTGGGCTGGGTTTTTGCTGGTGCTGAGTGGGTTTCTCACACTTCTCAGGCTTGTTTTTGTTTGTGGCTGCTGCAAACAGCTGTGCTGGGAGCCCTGATCCATCCCCAGATGATCTGGAGGGATCAGCGTGTCGAGGAGTCCCAATGGCAGCAGAAAAGGAGTTTTTGGAGGGTTCCCTGGAGCCTCCTCCTCCTGCCCCGATCCATTGGGTGAATTTTATGCCAGAGCTGCTTTCCCAAAGCTGTGGAAACAAAGGATGGGCTCCCCTTGGGGCTGTGAGGAACAGTTTTGCTCCCCTGGGGATTAATTAATTGCTGGGGGGAGAAACTGGAGGCGTGCAGGGCTGGCACCTCCCTTCTTGCAGAGGGTGCCAGTGGCTCTAGGGAGCAAAAAAAATCCTTTTCCATGAAAACCTGGCCTGCCTTTGGAGCTTCCCGGTGGTCACAAAGGTCCTGGAAGCACAGCAGAACATCTGAGGGAGTCAGGGCTGTGGATTCTTTGGGGTTTGGTGCTGGGAGATTCTGCATCCCCCCATTTCCAGCTGCTCCAGGAGGAGCAGTTCCTCATGCTCCAGCTGAGGAGGGGTTTTGGGATGTTGGGAATTCCGGGATAAACCTGCTGGGCTGACCCTCTGCTCCCCTTCCATGGATGTGCTGCTCATCTGGGGGCTGTTCCAGCTGAATCCCCCCAAAATTGGGGTTTGGAGCTTGAGCCTGGCTTGTGCCTTGTCCTGTTCAAACTGAATTCCCCCAAAATTGGGTTCAGAGCTTGAGCCTGGCTTGTGCCTTGTCCTGTTCAAACTGAATTCCCCCAAAATTGGGTTCAGAGCTTGAGCCTGGCTTGTGCCTTGTCCTGTTCCAGCTGAATTCCCCAAAATTTGGGTTCAGAGCTTGAGCCTGGCTTGTGCCTTGTCCTGTTCAAACTGAATTCCCACAAAATTGGGGTTCAGAGCTTGAGCCTGGCTTGTGCCTGTCCTGTTCCAGGTGATCTCATCCAAAATTGGGTTCATAGCTTGAGCCTGGCTTGTGCCTGTCCTGTTCCAGGTGATCTCATCTAAAATTTGGGTTAAGAGCCTGGGCCTGGCTTGTGCCTTGTCCTGTTCCAGCTGAATTCCCCCAAAATTCGGGATCAGAGCTTGAGCCTGGCTTGTGCCTTTTTCTGTTCAAACTGAATTCCCCCAAAATTTGGGATCAGAGCGTAAGCCTGGCTTGTGCCTTGTCCTGTTCAAACTGAATTCCCCCAAAATTGGGTTCAGAGTTTGAGCCTGGCTTGTGCCTTGTCCTGTTCAAACTGAATTCCCACAAAATTGGGGTTCAGAGCTTAAGCCTGGCTTGTGCCTTGTCCTGTTCCAGCTGAATTCCCCAAAAATTGGGGTTCAGAGCTTGAGCCTGGCCTGTGCCTCTCGTGCCTTGCCCAGCTGGCAGGACCTGCTGGATCCCTGCAGAAATGCTGCTGATTTCCTGCTAAAACCATTTTGTGTTCCCTTTGTGCATCTCTGTCACATGAACCCGGGAAAAGCAGGTTGTGCTCAGAGAAAATAAATAAAAAAACCCCAAACAAAAGGCAGAGGGTGTTTGTAGGGTGTCAAACCAGTGACCCTCTGCCAGGATGTGCCAAACAGAGACCTGGGCAAGGCAATTTTGGGTGAGAACCAACCAGAAAACAACACTGGGGTAAAGCAGGAGGGCTGGGGCTCTTCCCAAAGTGCATCCAGCAGGACAGAGCTTTTCCCCAGGAGCAGGGAACTGCCTCAACCTGACCCTGGCACTTGTGGTGGTGTTTTTTTCCTGCCCAAACTGCAGCCAGGACAGGCAGGGTGCTCCTGGCTGGCCCTGCACCGCTGCCTTATGCAACGGGGATTAATTGCAGTAGGTGGAGAAGAATTTCTTGGCTGCTTATCAGGGGTGAGGCTCCAGGAGCTGCTTGGTGGCTTCAGATAGGTGAGAGGAGCTGGGGGCACTGCCCAGCTGGGGAAATCATCTCCTCAAGCCCTGATAAACTTCAGCTCCCTCCCACAGAGCTGCTCCCAGCCCCAGGCCTCCAGCAGCAGGCACCCAGGAGAGCCTGGAGCTGCTTATTGCTGGGGCAGTTTGTCCTCCTAAATCCTGATTTTGGTTATTGCTTGGGCAGTTTGTCCTCTTAAATCCGGATTTTGGTTATTGCTGGGGCAGTTTGTCCTCCTAAATCCTGATTTTGGTTATTCCTTGGGCAGTTTGTCCTCCTAAATCCTGATTTTGGTTATTCCTTGGGCAGTTTGTCCTCCTAAATCCTGATTTTGGTTATTCCTTGGGCAGTTTGTCCTCCTAAATCCTGATTTTGGTTATTGCTTGGGCTGTTTGTCCTCCTAAATCCTGATTTTGGTTATTGCTGGGGCAGTTTGTCCTCCTAAATCCTGATTTTGGTTATTGCTTGAGCAATTTGTCCTCCTAAATCCTGATTTTGGTTATTGCTTGGGCAGTTTGTCCTCCTAAATCCTGATTTTGGTTATTCCTTGGGCAGTTTGTCCTCCTAAATCCTGATTTTGGTTATTCCTTGGGCAGTTTGTCCTCCTAAATCCTGATTTTGGTTATTGCTTGGGCTGTTTGTCCTCCTAAACCTGGATTTGGTTATTGCTTGGGCTGTTTGTCCTCCTAAATCCTGATTTTGGTTATTGCTTGGGCAGTTTGTCCTCCTAAATCCTGATTTTGGTTATTGCTTGGGCAGTTTGTCCTCCTAAATCTGGATTTGGTTATTCCTTGGGCAATTTGTCCTCCTAAATCCTGATTTTGGTTATTATTCTAGCTGTTTCTTCTCCTAAACCTGATTTTGGTTATTCCTTGGCTGTTTGTCCTCCTAAACCCAGGTTTTGGTTATTCCTTGGGCTTTTAGTTCAATTCAGTCCTGATTTTTGTTATTGCTTGGATTGTTTTTCTTGATTTTGTTTATCCTTTGGGTAGTTTATCCTCTTGAATCCTGCTTTTGGCTACTCCTTGGGTTGCAGAATCCTGGTTTTATCTGCTCCTTGGCTGTTAGTCCTGTTGAACCTGGGTTTTGGTTATTCCTTGGTCAGTTAGTCCTGGTTTTATCTGCTCCTTGGCCTGTTAGTCCTGTTAAATCCTGCTTTTGGTTATTCCTTGGGCTGTTTGTCTTGTTTTTGGTGATTGCTTGGGCAGTTAGTCCTGGTTTTATCTCCTCCTTGGGCTGCTTGTCCTGTTTTACCCGGGTTTTGGTTATTCCTTGGGCTGCTTGTCCTGTTTTACCCAGGTTTTGGTTAATCCTTGGGCTGCTTGTCCTGTTTTACCCAAGTTTTGGTTATTCCTTGGGCTGTCAGTCCTGCTTTACCCAGGTTTTGGTTAGTCCTTGGGCAGCTAGTCCTGGTTTTATCTGCTCCTTGGCCTGTTAGTCATGTTCTACCCACAGCTGATGGGTGGCTGATGCAAACTGCAGCCTGTGTGGGCTCCTCTGGGCTGTGGGGTGAGTTTTGAACCCCTTCAGAGTGACTCAGATCCACCAGAATAAAAAACAAAATGTTATTTATCCATTCTCACGTGAGGGCTGTACCCACCTTACCCCCCTTTTCCATGAAAAGCTGCCTGTTCCTGTCCAAGCTGCAGCAGCAGGGTGTCTGTAAATTGATTTTCCTGGGGGTGTGTGTGGCCCTGACAGCTACAGGAGGTTCTGTTCCTTCATGGGAACTGCTGGGGTGAAAGTGGGGAAAAACTGGGGTTTTTTTACTTCCCAAAACCACATTGATCCTGCACATAAATGCCACCTGCTGCTGCCAGGGATAAACTGGGATGAGACTGGGATTTTCTCCAGAGCATCCCGAAATCCTGAGCAGCCTCTGTAGGATGGGAAGGTGCTGACACCATGAAGGGTTGCACGGACAGCTGGATATGAAACCTGCTTTTAAATTCTGAGCTCATTCAGTGCAGTGCTGCCCTCCCGGGGGGATTTTCCTGAGTTTTTGGGCTCCTTTGGAGTTCCCAAGGAATGTGGTGCTGTGGAGCAGGGAGCTTTGCACGAGGCTGCCAAATTCCCTGGTGGAGGGTGATGCCTTTCATGAGCACCAGCTGATGCTGGAGTCTGAAATTCCAGCTACATTTTTAGGGTTTTTAAAGTTTATTTACTGTAAATTCCATCATTTGGTTGGTCTAGACTTGAGTAAAGCCAGCTTGGTTTTGTTATTTTGGGTGAAAGTCCTGAAGTGAGTTCTGATCTCTTCCTTGGGCTCACAGAAGGGGTGTGGAGATGTTTTGGGGTTTGGGTGCCAGGAGCTCAGCTGGCTTAAAATCTGTGTGAGAAAAAACCCTGAGGGGCAGAAATGCAGCTGGAATTCCCTGCCAGGCCCTCCTGAGGGGTAGAAATGCTGCAGGAATTCCCTGCCAGGCTTTCCCGAGGGGCAGAAATGCAGCTGGAATTCCCTGCCAGGCCCTCCTGAGGGACAGAAATGCAGCTGGAATTCCCTGCCAGGCCCTCCTGAGGGACAGAAATGCAGCTGGAATTCCCTGCCAGGCCCTCCTGAGGGACAGAAATGCTGCAGGAATTCCCTGCCAGGCCCTCCTGAGGGGCAGAAATGCAGCTGGAATTCCCTGCCAGGCTTTCCTGAGGGACAGAAATGCTGCTGGAATTCCTGCCAGGCTTTCCTGAGGGGCAGAAATGCAGCTGGAATTCCCTGCCAGGCCCTCCTGAGGGACAGAAATGCAGCTGGAATTCCCTGCCAGGCTTTCCTGAGGGGCAGAAATGCAGCTGGAATTCCTGCCAGGCCCTCCTGAGGGACAGAAATGCAGCTGGAATTCCTGCCAGGCCCTCCTGAGGGGCAGAAATGCAGCTGGAATTCCCTGCCAGGCTTTCCTAAGGGGAAGAAATGCAGCTGGAATTCCCTGCCAGGCTTTCCTGAGGGGCAGAAATGCAGCTGGAATTCCCTGATTCCCTGCCAGGCCCTCTTGAGGGACAGAAATGCAGCTGGAATTCCCTGCCAGGCTTTCCTGAGGGACAGAAATGCTGCAGGAATTCCCTGCCAGGCCCTCCTGAGGGACAGAAATGCTGCAGGAATTCCCTGCCAGGCCCTCCTGAGGGGCAGAAATGCAGCTGGAATTCCCTGCCAGGCCCTCCTGAGGGACAGAAATGCAGCTGGAATTCCCTGATTCCCTGCCAGGCTTTCCTGAGGGGCAGAAATGCAGCTGGAATTCCCTGCCAGGCCCTCCTGGGGGGCAGAAATGCAGCTGGAATTCCTGCCAGGCCCTCCTGAGGGACAGAAATGCAGCTGGAATTCCCTGCCAGGCCCTCCTGAGGGACAGAAATGCAGCTGGAATTCCCTGATTCCCTGCCAGGCTTTCCTGAGGGGCAGAAATGCAGCTGGAATTCCCTGCCAGGCCCTCCTGGGGGGCAGAAATGCAGCTGGAATTCCCTGCCAGGCCCTCCTGAGGGACAGAAATGCAGCTGGAATTCCCTGCCAGGCCCTCGGGGGAGAAAACCACTGGGAGCTGAGGGGAAAACAGGGACAAGGAACCTCCCAGAGCCTCTGGGGGACACTGGCTCTGCATTTTCTCCTTTTCAGGGAATTCCTGAGTTGCCTGTTCCCAGTTTTCCCAGCTCGCCCTTCTAGGAACTGTCCCAGACTGCTGGGCCAGCTGCAGGAGGGACAAGCTGGGGCAGAGTCAGGCTGTTGAAAGCAGGAGAAAATTAAAACGTTCCCTGGATTTCTTTGGAGCAGCCTCATTCCTTGGGCTTTCCATGGATAAAGCAGAGCAGAGGTCACACTTCCCTCCAGGAGGGTGTCGCAGTGGGAGCAGAGAAATTAAAAATTCGGATAAATCAGGGCTGTGCAGGGGCTGAAGCGAGCTCTTGGCGATCTGGGAATTTTGGAGCTCTCAGTAACCAAGGGCTGTCCCTGGTGTCTTTGTTGCAGACACGGATGCAGAGCCTGCAGCCGGACCCCAAAGCCCAGTACAGGAGCGTGTACGAAGCTCTCAAGAAGATGGTGCTGACCGAGGGCTTCTGGAGGCCTTTACGAGGGATTAATGTCACCATGCTGGGGGCTGGCCCTGCCCACGCCTTGTACTTCGCCTGCTACGAGAAAATGAAAAAGTCTCTCAGTGACATTTTCCAGCCAGGAGGAAACAGCCACTTGGCCAATGGTATTTTTGGGGTTTGCCCTAAAAAAAAAAAACAACCTCATTCGTGATTATCAACCTATCCCTTGCTTGCTTCTCACTCAGCTTGGTGTCCCTCCCAGTCTAAATTCTTATTTAATCTCAAATTGTTCCAGCACAAATCATCAGTTTAGTGGGCAAAAGCGCCCCTCCCAATCTAAATTCTTATTTAATCTCAAATTATTCCAGCACAAATCATCAGTTTAGTGGGCAAAAGCGTCCCTCCCAATCTAAATTCTTATTTAATCTGAAATTACTCCAGCACAAATCATCAATTTAGTGGGCAAAAGGTGCTGAGGTGCAGCTGTGCTGTTCCTATATTGCCGTGGAATCCTTAAAGTTGGGAAAGATCTTCAGGATCAAGTCCCACCTTTCAAGGTATCACCTAAAGGTGTGATCTTACATTGAAGGCATCACCTCAGCCTCTGGAGGTTTGAATTCAGGCGTCCCTGGGAGCATGGAATTTGCACATCCAGGATCCCCAAAATCCCTCCATCCTCTTTAATTTTTAGCAGGAATATTTCACTTTTAAACCCAGAAATAGCAGCAGAAAGCCTGGAATCGAGCAGCCAGGGCTTTACCAAAGGGTTTGTGCTGGAGATTCCCATGATTTTGCTGGGATGTGCTGGTGGGAATCTGCCGTGGGCTCACGGAACTCAGAGAAGAGAATAAAATCCTTTCTGCTGGCTGCTCTTTGCTGGGAACACATTCCTGTGCTTGCCTTTCAAGTAGCTACAGGCCTGTGGTGCCAGCAGGAAAATCAGAGCTGTGGCTTCATGAGAAATGACCAAAAGTCATTTGGGCAAGAGGGAATTGGAGTGGGAACCAGGATCAAAGGGAAGGAGTGGCTGGAGAGGCTGATCCCGGTGCTGAGCTCGGGATGGGTCAGGGCTGGCCGGGCTTGGCGCAGCCGGGGCACTGAGGCTTGGAGAGCAGGCTGAGTAAAGGGATGAAAATCCCTAATTAGGGCTGTGCTGAGGGCAGGGGAAGCGTTGCTCACAGCTCAGGCGCCGCGGGTGTCTGCGGCCGACGGATCCTCGGGAATTGTTGGGGACAGCAAAGCTGGGGCTGGGAGCGGATCCGGGCTTCTCTCGGGATGGGGGTCCTGCCCTGGGGTCTGCGCTGGGCCCTGGGTGGGAGCACCTCCCTCAGCATGGATGGGGTTCCCCCATGGATGGGGTTCCCCCCATGGATGGGGTCCCCCCATGGATGGGGTTCCCCCATGGATGGGGTTCCACCATGGATGGGGTTCCCATGGATGGATTCCCATGGATGGGGTTCCCATATGAGTGGGATCCCCATGGATGGATTCCCACTGATGGGATTCCCCAGATGGATTCCCACAGATGCAGTTCCCACTGATGGGATCCCCCTGGATGGATTCCCATGGATGGGATCCCCTGGATGCAGTCCTATGGATGGGATCCCCCTGGATGGATTCCCATGGATGGATCCCCATGGATGGGATCCCCTGGATGCAGTCCCATGGATGGATCCCATGGATGGGATCCCCTGGATGCAGTCCCCTGGATGCATCCCCATGGATGGGATCCCCATGGATGGGATTCCCCAGGCTGGATCCCCCTGGCCAGATTCCCCTGTCTGGATCCCCCAGGCCGGATTCCCCAGGCTGGATTCCCCAGGCTAGATTCCCCAGGCCGGATCCCCCAGGCTGGGTGCCCCAGGGTGGATCCCCAGGCTGGATCCCCCAGGCTGGATCCCCCAGGCCGGATCCCCTAGATGGGATCCCCCAGGCCGGATTCCCCAGGCTGGATCCCCAGGGTGGATCCCCCAGGGTGGATCCCCAGGCTGGACCCCCCTGTCTGGATCCCCCAGGCCGGATCCCCAGGCCGGATCCCCAGGCCGGATCCCCTGGCCGGATCCCCAGGCTGGATCCCCAGGCTGGATCCCCTGGCTGGATCCCCCTGGCTGGATCCCCCAGGCTGGATCCCCAGGCTGGATCCCCCAGGGTGGATCCCCAGGCTGGATCCCCTAGATGGGATCCCCCAGGCTGGATCCCTTGTCTGGATCCCCAGGGTGGATCCCCAGGCTGATCCCCTGGGTTCAGGGACGCCTTTGGAGCTGGTTTGTGTTCTCAGGGCTGCTCTTGCCTTGCAGGCATCGCGGGGAGCGCGGCCACGCTGCTGCACGACGCCGTGATGAATCCTGCCGAAGGTAATCCCGGGATCTGGGCACTGCCAGAAAGAAATCCAGGGCTGCCCCCAGACCTCCAAACCCAGCGACCTCGTTCCTCTGTCCCTGGGGAGGAGAGGAGGAATTAATTTATCCCTGGATCTCCTGGTGCATTGGAGGTGTCCCCTTTACGGTGTCACCTTTACTGTCACCCCTCTGCTGCTCCTCGGGGCAGTGGTTCTGGTTTTCCTGGAGCTTTGGCCTGACCAAGCTGAGCTCAGGCTGTTGGATGAGCACATGGAGGGACTGTGAGGTTCCTGGCCGGGTGGAGTGTCAGGAGAAGGCCTCAGGAAAATGAGGATTGACAGGAAAATGCAGCTCAAGTGACAGTGATGTCACCTGCCAGCTCCTCAGGGTCACTGGGTTGTGCTCCTGAGTGGGCCCAGAGCAGGAATCTCTGAAGGAGAAACCTCCAGTGTATCAAATCCTTTTAATCCTACCCTGATTAAATAATTTAAATTAATTGGCCTTGCAAGCCAGGGAGGCTGAGGGGGTGTGTGACACCCCAGGTGATGCTCAGGTGTGACTCCACCTTCCACCCTCCCTGCTGGGTCTGTGCATTCCCAGCGAGGGGCCTGAGCAGCCTGGCCTGATGGGGAGAGCTGGGGGTCATTAATTAACCCTGAGGAGAGGGGTCCATCAGAACTGGTGGGTCACTAATTAACCCTGAGGAGTTCATTAGAACTAGTGGGTCATTAATAGCCTGAGGAGAGGGGTTCATTAGAACTAAAGGGTCATTAATTATCTGTGAGGAGAGGGGTTCATTAGAACTAAAAGGTCATTAATTATCTGTGAGGAGAGGGGTTCATTAGAACTAAAAGGTCATTAATTAAGCCTGAGGAGAGGGGTTCATTAGGAAGTGAGCTCTGAGCTGTCCCCTGGCTGTGCTGAGCTCTGGGGGCAGCTCAGGGGGTTGGTTTGGGTGGGGAAGGGAGGTCAGGGCTGTGCCAGCTGAGCTGTGTGCCTGTCCCCATTCCTGTCCCCATTCCTGTCCCCACTCCTGTCCCAAGTTCTGGGGGCACTGGGCAGCTCGGGGGGATCAGTTTGGGTGGGGAAGGGAGATTGGGGCTGTGCCTGGGGTCACTCTGGGGGCTGTGCCAGCCAGGCCTGACCCCACAGATGAGCAGTGTCCCTGTCCCCACTCCTGTCCCCAGCTCAGGGGGATCGGTTTGGATTGGGAGGGGAGGCTGGGGCTGTGCCAGCTGACCCCAGAGCTGAGCAGTGTCCCTGTCCCCAGCTCAGGGGGATCAGTTTGGGTGGGGAAGGGAGGCCGGGGCTGTGCCAGCTGAGCTGTGTGCCTGTCCCCATTCCTGTCCCCATGCTGTCCCCAGCTCAGGGGGATCAGTTTGGGTGGGGAAGGGAGGTCAGGGCTGTGCCAGCTGAGCAGTGTCCCTGTCCCCACGCTGTCCCCACTCCTGTCCCCAGCTCAGGGGGATCAGTTTGGGTGGGGAAGGGAGGCTGGGGCTGTGCCAGCTGACCCCCCAGCTGAGCAGTGTCCCTGTCCCCACTCCTGTCCCCAGCTCAGGGGGATCAGTTTGGGTTGCAAAGGGAGGTCAGGGCTGTGCCAGCTGAGCTGTGTCCCTGTCCCCATGCTGTCCCCAGCTCAGGGGGATCAGTTTGGTTGGGAAGGGAGGCTGGGGCTGTGCCAGCTGACCCCCCAGCTGAGCAGTGTCCCTGTCCCCATGCTGTCCCCAGCTCAGGGGGATCAGTTTGGATTGGGAGGGGAGGCTGGGGCTGTGCCAGCTGACCCCCCAGCTGAGCAGTGTCCCTGTCCCCACGCTGTCCCCGAGCAGTGGTGAAGCAGAGGCTGCAGATGTTCAACTCTCCGTACACGTCGGTGCTGGGCTGCGTGCGGACGGTGCAGAGGACCGAAGGCTTTGGAGCCTTCTACCGCAGTTACACCACGCAGCTGACCATGAACGTGCCCTTCCAGGCCATCCACTTCATCACCTACGAGCTGGTGCAGGAGCACCTGAACCCCCACCGCCACTACCACCCCCAGTCCCACATCGTGGCCGGCGCCCTGGCCGGGGCCGTGGCCGCCGCCGCCACCACGCCGCTGGACGTGTGCAAGACGCTGCTCAACACGCAGGAGAACACGGCCCTGAGCTCCCTCAAGATCAAGGGGCACCTGTCGGGCATGGCCAACGCCTTCAGCACCGTCTACCAGCTGGGAGGGGTGCCCGGCTTCTTCAAGGGCGTCCAAGCTCGGGTCATTTACCAGATGCCCTCCACGGCCATCGCCTGGTCCGTGTACGAGTTCTTCAAGTACTTCCTCACCAAGCAGGCGCTGGAGAAGAAATCCTCCTCGTGAGAGAGGAGCAGGAACCGCCCTGGGCCTGCTCCCAGCCAGCCCGGCTGGAATTGTGCGGGATTCACGGCTCCAAATCTCCCTGCCTGTGCTTCCCGGGGCGCTCGGTCACCGAGTGTCCCCAGGGCTTCCTGGTCACTGAGTGTCCCTGTCACCGAGTGTCCCCAGGGCTTCCTGGTCAGTCACCGAGTGTCCCCAGGGCTTCCTGGTCACCGAGTGTCCCCAGGGGTTCCTGGTCACCGAGTGTCCTCAGGGGTTCCCTGTCACTGAGTGTCCTGGTCACCGAGTGTCCCCCAGGGGTTCCTGTGGTGCTTGGTCACTGTCCCTGGGGGTTCCTGGTCATTCAGTGTCCCTGTCACTGAGTGTCCCCAGGGGTTCCCATGGTGTCCCTGGGGATTCCTGGTCACTGAGTGTCCCCAGGGGTTCCTGTGGTGCTTGGTCACTGTCCCTGGGGGTTCCTGGTCACTGAGTGTCCCCAGGGGTTCCTGGTCACTCGGTGTCCCCAGGGATTCCCATGGTGTCCCTGGGGATTCCTGGTCACTCAGTGTCCCCAGGGATTCCTGGTCACTGAGTGTCCCCAGGGGTTCCTGGTCACTGAGTGTCCCTGTCACCGAGTGTCCCCAGGGGTACCTGGTCACTGGGTGTCCCCAGGGGTACCTGTGGTGCTTGGTCACTGTCCCTGGGGATTCCTGGTCATTCAGTGTCCCCAGGATTTCCTGGTCACTTGATGTCCCCAGGGATTCCCATGATGTCCCTGGGGATTCCCATGATGTCCCTGGGGATTCCCATGGTGTCCCTGGGGATTCCTGGTCACTGAGTGTCCCCAGGGATTCCTGGTCACCAAGTATCCCTGTCACTGAGTGTCCCCAGGGGTTCCCTTCACTGAGTGTCCCCAGGAATTCCTGGTCACTCGGTGTCCCCAGGGATTCCCATGGTGTCCCCCAGGAATTCCTGGTCACTTGATGTCCCCAGGGGTTCCCATGGTGTCCCTGGGGATTCCTGGTCACTGAGTGTCCCCAGGGATTCCCTGTCACTGAGTGTCCCCAGGGATTCCTTTTGTGCTTGGTCACTGTCCCTGGGGATTCCCTGTCAGCCGAGTGTCCCCAGGGATTGCCACAGTGTCCCTGGGGATTCCTGGTCACTGAGTGTCCCTGGGGATTCCCATGGTGTCCCCAGGGATTCCCATGGTGTCCCTGGGGATTCCTGGTCACCGAGTGTCCCCAGGGATTCTGGGGATTGCCTGTCACTGATTGTCCCCAGGGATTCCAGGGGTTCCTGGTCACTGGGTGTCCCTGTAACCAAGTGTCCCCGGGGATTCCCTGTCAGCAAGTGTCCCCAGGGGTTCCCACGGTGTCCCTGTGGGTTCCTGGTGGTCACTCGGTGTCCCCCGTGATTCCCTGTCACCGAGTGTCCCCAGGGATTCCTACGGTGTCCCCAGGAATTTCTGGTCACTCGGTGTCCCCAGGGATTCCCACAGTGTCCCTGGGGATTCCTGATCACCGAGTGTCCCCAGGGGTTCTGGGCATTCCTGGTCACTCAGTGTCCCCCGTGATTCCCGGTCACTGGGTGCCCCTTTCCCTTCCTCAAACAACAACAAAAAGAGAGTTTATACAGACTTTGATATTAATATATATCTATTTAATAACTTTATTTGGAAGCAGTGAAATCACAAGCTTCTCTTTTTTCCTGGAAATAAGATGGAAGATGGAGTTTACTCCTCGCTGAAGGTTTAGGTTATCCAACCTAAGCTGTTTGTTTTTTTTTTTATTTTTTTTTTTTATTTTTTACAGCAGAGAAACAAAGATGTCATGGCACAGAAGTTAATTTTATATAAATATAAAATAGCTGGATAATGTTTATCCTTTATTTTTCTATGTAGGCAGTTGGGTGGTTTAAAATGCTTTTACAGCTGGGTGCAAAGCTGTTTAAAAAGGGCTCAGTTCTTCCCTCCTGTAAGGAAGACCCAAAATCATTGATTTTATGGCCAGATTGGCTTTAATTACCCAGGTGGTGGCCTGGCTCCTCCCCTGGGTGTCAAGGTACTTGGGAACCTTTGAGGGGACAAGGAATGGGGACATGGCTTTGTGGGGCATCCCAAAATCCCTTTGTGGGGGACAGAGAGGGGGAAAACTCAATTCCTTTTATTTTTAATTTTTTTTTAAATGTAGATTTTTAACCAATCTGATTTTACAATTGAAACTTGCTAAAGGTGCATTTTTATGGGGTGGGACAGCTGACCAGCCTTCATCCTTGTGGAGTTTATTCCCAGTTTTCCTCTCTGAAGCCCTGATCCCATTCCAGGACCTCTCCTGGGGTCCCCGGGGGGTTTCCTGCTCCCAGCAAAGGGAGATCCTGGAGCTGCTGTTTACAGAGTCCCTGGCAGCTCCAAAAACAGCCCCAAATCCTTGGGAATTCCCAGGGCTGATCCAAAGGCACCTCCCAGCCCTGCCTGCTGCTCATCCCGGCCCTGGAGGGACAAAAATCCCACCTGGAGGGACAAAAATCCCACCTGGAGAGGGAAAATCCCACCTGGAGAGGGAAATCCCGACCTGCAGGAGCTGCTCATTCCCTGAGTTTGGTTTTCCTGCTCGGAATGCTGAGTGGGAAGGGTGGAAGCCTCCCTGCTGCAGCTGGGAATGGTTTCCCAAAGCAAATTCCATCCTTAACTGCTCCTCTGGGAGATCCCAAGGGATTTCTGGGATCCTGGATGTGCAAATTCCAGTTCAGGGTCCATTTCCCATTTGGGAATTGCTCTTCCAAAGCAAATTCCATCCTTTAACTGCTCCCTTGAGAGATCAGGAAGGATTTTGGGATCCTGGATGTGCAAATTCCAGTTCCAGGGTCCATTTCCCATTTGGGAATGGCTCTTCCAAAGCAAATTCCATGTTTTAACCTCTCATTTGGATGATTTGGAGGGATTTTGGGATTCTGGATATTCAAATTCCAGGGTCCATTTGCCATTTGAATCCAGGGATAAATTCCATTCTTCCCAAACCAAATTTCATCCTTCAGCTGCTCCTCTGGGAGTTCCCAAGGGATTTTTAGGATCCTGGATGTGCAAATTCCAATTCCAGGGTCCATTTCCCATTTGAATCCAGGGATAAATTCCATCCTTCCCAACCCAAATTTCATTTTGGGAATTTGAAGGGATTTTGGGATTGTGGATGTTCAAATTCCAGGGTCCATTTCCCATTTGAATCCAGGGATAAATTCCATCCTTCCCCAACCAAATCCCATCCCTCAGCAGCCAAGGAGGGATTTTTGGGATCCCGTTCCAGGATCCACCTCCCCCTTCCCTGGGATGTCCCCAGGTCTGGTTTTTGGGGTGACCCCGAGCAGATCTGATCCTTTTCCCACAATTTTTGGAGCAGGAAAATGCAGGATCCCCCCTGGGGGTGCCACGTGTGCCTTGTGGGAACGATCCCGGTGTGAAATGAGCTTTTTGCTGCCTTTTTTTGTGTGTCTTAACCCGAATAAATCCCTACACCAAAGGCTCCCTTGTGCCTTAAAACGGGAAAATCCCGCTGGATTCTCCTGGATTTGCTGGGATTGGAGCAACCAGAGCTGAAATTTTCCTGGGAAAAGGAAATTCCTCCTGGGGAAAGGAAAATTCATCCTGGGGAAAGGAAAATTCCTCCTGGGAAAAGGAAATTCCTCCTGGAAAAAGGAAATTCCTTCTGGGAAAAATAAATTCCTCCTGGGAAAAGGTAAATCCTTTCTGGGGAAAGGAAATTCCTCCTGGGAAAAGGAAATTCTACCTGGGAAAAGGAAAATTCCTCCTGGGAAAAGGCAAAATTCCTCCTGGAAAAAGGAAATTCCTCCTGGGAAAAATAAATTCTGTCTGGGGAAAGGAAATTCCTCCTAGGAAAAGGTAAATCCTTTCTGGGAAAAGGCAAATTCATCCTGGGAAAAGGAAATTCCTCCTGGGAAAAGGAAAATTCCTCCTGGGAAAAGGAAATTCTGCCTGGGGAAAGGAAAATTCCTTCTGGAAAAATGAAAATCTCTCCTGGGAAAAGGAAAATTCCTCCTGGAAAAAGGAAATTCCTCCTGGGAAAAGGAAATTCTACCTGGGAAAAATAAATTTCTCCTGGGAAAAGGTAAATCCTTTCTGGAAAAAGGGAAATTCCTCCTGGGAATAGGAAAATTCCTCCTGGGGAAAGAAAAATTCCTCCTGGGAAAAATAAATTCCTCCTGGGGAAAGGAAATTCCTCCTGGGGAAAGGAAATTCTGCCTGGGGAAAGGAAAATTCCTCCTGGGAAAAGTAAATTCCTCCTGGGAAAAGGAAAATTCCTCCTGGGAAAAGGAAAATCCCACCTGGGAAAAGGAAAATTCCTTCTGGAAAAAGGCAAATCCTCCTGGGAAAAGGAAATTCTGCCTGGGGAAAGGAAAATTCCTCCTGGGAAAAGGAAATTCCTCCTGGGAAAAGGAAAATTCCTCTTGGGGAAAGGAAATTCCTCCTGGGAAAGGAAAATTCCTCCTGGGGAAAGTAAATTCCTCCTAGGAAAAGGTAAATCCTTTCTGGGAAAAAGAAAATTCCTCCTGGGAAAAATAAATTCTGTCTGGGGAAAGGAAATTCCTCCTGGGAAAAGGAAATTCTGCCTGGGGAAAGGAAAATTCCTCCTGGGAAAAGGAAATTCCTCCTGGGAAAAGGAAAATTCCTCCTGGGAAAAGGAAAATCCCTCCTGGGATGAGGGAATCCCATCCTGAGAAGAGAAAAATCCCTTCTGGAAAAATGAAAATCCCTTCTGGGAGGAGGAAAATCCATTTTGGGAGGACTAAAATCCATTTTGGGAGGACTAAAATCCGTTTTGGGAGGACTAAAATCCCCTTGGATGCTCCTGGACACCCAACAAACCCAGCCCAGTTCTCATTCCAGAGGTCTCACCCGCAGCGGGAATATTCCCAATTTTCCCTTCCCAAATCCCCGTCCCCATCCCAAAATCCCTGCCAAGTTTGCCTTTGGAAGCGGCGCTGAATTCTGAGCTGAAATCCTCGATTTTCGCTCAGTCTCTGACCCCGTTCTGCCACAAACGCACAAAGTTCTTTAAGGGAGGATGAGGAACTTTTCCAGTTCTTAATCCCTTTTTTTTTTTTTTCCTTTGGATTTTTTGACTTGGCAAAAATAAAATTAAAATTAAAAAAAAAAAATGTTTTTTTCACTGTTTACCAATGCAGGATCCGGGTATAAAATGCTGCTACAGTTGTGTCACTGGAGCTCGAGGAAATAAAAATATCCTGATTTTTTTGGGTTTTTTGTGTTTTTGGAGTCGGTGGTTGTTTTTCCTTGGGAATGAGGGAGGAGCTGGCTCATCCCTGAGGGAATGGTGCCTTCTAGTGGGAGGAAAATCCATCCTGGGAGGAGAAAATTCCCCTGGGAGGAGCAAAATCTGAACTGGGAGGGGGAAAATCAGTACTGGGAAAAAAAGAAAATCCATTTTGGGAAAAGGAAAATCCATCCTGGGAGGGGAAAAATCCATTTTGGGTGGAGGAAAATCCATTTTGGGAGGAGAAAATCCATTTTGGGAGGAGGAAAAAGAGGAAAATCCATTTTGGGAGGGGGAAAATCCATTTTGGGTGGAGGAAAATCCATTTTGGGAGGGGGAAAATCTATTTTGGGAGGAGGAAAATCCATTTTGTGAGGGGGAAAATCTATTTTGGGAGGGGGAAAATCAATTTTGGGACACGGAAAATCCATTTTGGGAGGGGGAAAATCCATTTTGGGAGGAGGAAAATCCATTTTGGGAGGAGGAAAATTCATTTTGGGAGGGGGAAAATCCATTTTGGGAGGAGGAAAAAGAGGAAAATCCATTTTGGGAGGGGGAAAATCCATTTTGGGTGGGGGGAAATCCATTTTGGGGGGAGGAAAAAGGAAAATTCATTTTGGGAGGGGGAAAATCCAATTTGGGAGGGGAAAATCCATTTTGGGAGGAGGAAAAACCATTTTGGGAGGGGAAAAATCCATTTTGGGTGGAGGAAAAAGAGGAAAATCCATTTTGGGAAGGAAAAAATCCATTTTGGGAGGGGGAAAATCTATTTTGGGAGGAGGAAAATCCATTTTGGGAGGAGGAAAAAGAGGAAAATCCATTTTGGGGAGGGGGAAAATCCATTTTGGGTTGAGGAAAAAGAGGAAAATCCATTTTGGGTGGGGGAAAATCCATTTTGGGTGGAGGAAAATCCATTTTGTGAGGGGGAAAATCCATTTTGTGAGGGGAAAAATCCATTTTGGGAGGGGGAAAATCCATTTTGTGAGGGGAAAAATCCATTTTGGGAAGGGGAAAATCCATTTTGTGAGGAGGAAAAAGAGGAAAATCCATTTTGTGAGGGGGAAAATCCATTTTGGGAAAAGGAAAATCCATCCTGGGAGGAGGAAAATTCATTTTGGGAAAATCCATCCTGGGAGGAGGAAAATTCATTTTG